ATCCTCTCCCTTCCAGGTCTGGTCTAAGTATGGCATGGCCCTTCCCCAGAATTTCATCCCTTGCCAGGGCTCTGCATTGGCAGACATGGAAAATTAGGGTAAAATGAGAATGGCCTAGTCCATAATGCTGCTAAATTGTGTAAGTCTTGCAGGTATGGACTTCGAGGGAAAATACAGCTATTAGAAAAGGGCAGTCACATGCGCACAACAGTCATGGTATAAGAGATCTAATATTCCAAACTCTCTGCTTTGAAAACTAACTAGAAACCCATGGAGGTTCTTTAGCTTTTATGTTACAGATGTTCCCTGACTTGTACAAAATTGGATTTGAGCAAATATGACTTCATGCGTATTACCCTAAGGTACATCATGTTGTAGCCATGCAGACTCTGCATTCTACACAGAGATGCAAAGCGGTCAGGCTGATGAACAAATACCATGAGGTGAGAGTGGAGGGCTGGAAGCAGCCACCACAAGGCGTCCTCCGGTTTCCAATCTTACCTGGTTTCCTTTGGTTCAGCTTTAGGTCTGGCCTGGCCCTCAGGACTACACTGGCCCAGGCTCTTGTAGGTCTGACTAACCCAGTGAATAAGGACTGGACATAGGTGATCCCTAATAATCGGCCCATCTCTAAAATTCTATGATTCTGCTTCTCTCCCTTAGTCTCCTCTACCCACAAAATACACCATTAAAGGTCACTAATAAGAACTTTTGTTAGTAAAAGTACTCTATTACGGTGCTAAAATGTATATGACATCAGTTCATCTCTGGTTAGTAGTCACTAACATTCCTCATGACAAAAGTCTCGTCAAGTCAGCTAAAACAATACGTAAAGATAATACTTTTTACATAATTGGTTATATACTGATGATAATCATTTCTAGCAAGTATTTGTGTTGGTTTCAACTGTGTTGAATTCAATAGTATTAAATGCTAATACAATAGATTTTTATTTAGACGTAAAAGGAATAAGCATCATTCATAATTAAATTAAGGCTTAAAAATGTGTGATTTACTTGCTTTTAAAAAACATTAATAGGAAACCTCAAACATATACAAAAACAGAAGAGTATAATGGATCTCCATGCAATCATTATCCAGCCTCTGCAATTCCAATTCATGGCCAATCTTGTTTCATCTACTCCCTTAACTCACTCACTTCCCCTCATCCCAGACTATTCTGAAGCAAATTCAAGACATATCATCTCACTATAAATACATGATTTTGAATAATGGTTCTCGGATTAGATCTCATCACAGCAATAAAAAGAAAAGTACTGGTATGGACTAATTCAAGAGGGGTGTTTACCTATTTCCTGTTTCTTAAAACTTCTGCCAGGAGCAGAGAGGAGATGGAGCTGCAAAGTGGTAAAAGATAATATAAGCTCAAGTCCTAAATGAATATGGACCTATTTCTTAAAACAACAGGCTACTGATGAGGTTTTTAAAAATGCCAGTTAAAATAGGCAAGATAATCTATAACCCCAATATTCCTTTTCTTCACTTCACTCAAATTCACAGTTAACTCTCAGACACGGCATCACTATAGCTCACTCCTTCACAGAAAACGGTGTTTAACATTTCAGGCATTTAAGCTTTTCTGAATCCCAAACAGAGGTTGTTTCTTAATGTCTTAATTAATACGGTTGGTTTCTGCACCTGCTTCATCAAAAAAACTATATATGCTGAAAGGTGGCTTTAAAACTTTTTTCCACTTACATGCCAGTTATCCAGGGTAACTAACTCAAAGCCAAGGCAATGGGAAATATTAAAGAAAGAGTGGAAAGTCTTTTGATCTAGAAAGTTGGATCAACCAAGAAAACAATTTAGTTATATCCCATTAACAGCAGGGGATAAAATATCTTAAAAAAAAAAAAAAGGCAGAAGGTAGAAGGAGAACATGTCTTCTGCGTTCTGTCTTAAGTGCCTTAGATACTTCAAAAATCAAATTCAAATTTAATTAGAAATAGAATGACAGGTTTAACAAATGCTAACTCAAGTTCCTCTTGTAATTTCTCCCCTCCTCTGCAATAAAGTATAGGGAAAAGAATGAATTTCAATTTCATTTCTATGTATAATTCCAAATTTCATATTTATGCTTCTGGAGAAAGCACCATTTCAAAATATCACTGTACCTAACACAAGCACTAAATTTTTTGGGGTGAATTCATCAGACTGTGTACATCAAAAAAGTATTAACATTGCTCATTTTTTAAAAAAAAACTATTATAATTTATAGATTTAGGAAGTTTTCAAACATATCAAAATAAGTACTATGAAAATATGCACCACCTCATAATGTTACAATAGCAATTAGTAACAAGTACACAGGGCAGGTCCAAGGCAGAAATGGGAAGCAGAATAACTTGGACATCCCAGCCTTCCCACCATGTATCCCTTTTCTCCCTCTGTAACTTCCCGCTTTGAGCTGACTCTTTCCCTCAGATACCCAAGATTCTTGTGCTCCCCCTTTTACAACATGCTCTCAGGAAAACAAAATGTGAAATTAACACGTACTGATGGAAACATGACTAATAAATTGGATTATTACTCTCATGGGGGTTATGTGCATCTTAACTTTTAAACTACAAGAGATAACCAGAACGGAATTTTTAGCACTGGCTAGCGGCTAGGAGTGATTCCACCTTGAACTCTCGTGTTAAGCACAGTCGTGTTCAGCCTATGGATAAGGTCAGCACGGAAGACATGCAAATATACATGAAGTAAACCTCCCAATTAGAGTTTCAACAGTAAGATTCTAATCTTATAGTTCACTTCTTTTCAGCAGGGACATTTTCAACAATAAAACTACCTCCAAATGGAAATTATATACCTCTTCCCAATAATGCTATCTCCTGTGTTTTATCAGCAAAAGTCACTCAAGGAAAGAAGACAAAGTGTGAGGCAAGAACAATGCTTTAAAGCCAAGCAGACTGGGCAGTAAATTGGAAAGGGGCTGTACCAGAAGAGGGGTTTAAAAGTTGGCTTTGTTATTCATAACTGATATTTTCTTAAACTCCATTAAAAATTCTGTGACCAGGGAACCAGGCAAAGAAAGGGTTACTGAGGATCTGGTTAACAACATAATCTGTCAAGTGCTTTTCAGACAACAAGAAACAATGTGTTCTGTTTTGCAGAAGTTGTTGTCTTGCAGAGAAGCACAGGTTGGCAGGAAAGACCCCTGCAAAACGTTCCAGCACCAGACGTCCTAAAGGTACCTACACTCATTACCATCTCAAATTCTCCTCCTCTGGGAGGGTCCAAACAGCAATTTTTAGATCATGCGATGTATGTAGTAACATGTAAACATGCTATGCAGCTGCCTTAAAAGAACAGAGTTGTTATGCAAATAAACCCCGATCTTCCGCCCTCTTTTGTACCAAGTCTCCAGTGGTGGGGAGACGCTGCTTTGGGAGTTACCCCCGGTGTTCTCCATTGCTTGTGCAGGTAATAAACCTTTCTTCACCTACTCCTGCCTTGGTTGTGCTTTTTGGCTCTGCACTCACCAAGAGATGAACCTACTGAGTTTGGTTACAATTCCACTTTCAGTAAGTGAAAACAGCGCAAACTGGATGCTTCCATAAGTGTACCTGGTTGATTCTCCGAATATATTTCATTAAGAAGTACTACCAAGAATTATAAAAGAATGAGAGGGAAAATCACATATAGCATGGTGTGTAAACAATCAAAAGTTATTAAACTCCATCAGTCTTAATTTAAAAAAATCTGAATTCAGGGCCAGGCCGGTGGCATAGTGGTTAAGTTTGTGTGTTCCACTTCTGGTGGCCCAGGGTTCGCAGGTTCAGATCCCAGGCGCAGGCGTACGTGCCACTTATCAAGCCATGCTGTGGCAGGTGTCACACATGTAAAGGAGAGGAAGATGAGCATGGATGTTAGCCCAAGGCCAATCTTCCTCAGCAAAAAGAGGAGGATTGGCAACAGATGTTAGCTCAGGGCTAATCTTCCTCACCAAAAAAAAAAAAAATTCTGAATTCACTCGAGCAAATTATTTTCTGAAACTCAACCACTGGAATTATGCTGAAAATAGAGATTTTTGCTAATATGCTTTCATCAAAATGTTAGCATTTCTATCTTCATACATACAACACTGAAAAAATCAACTGTAACAAAGCTAAACTAATAACTGCTTTTGCATTGTTACTAACAATCTGGCATGGAATCAACACAATTAACAGTAACAAAATGGCTAAAATACGTTTGCATACTGTGGCAAACATCATGGACTGGTTATCCAAAAGCCATTCCAATCTCCCTTCTCTCGTCTCTCTCTCCTACAGAGGCTAGAAAGAAAAAAACGTACTTGACCTCAAACACTCACATTACAGATGGCCATGAGACACGGTTCTGGCTGCCCTTTCCAAATAAAAAGGTAAAGACTTGCTAGGATAAAGCCCCTAGCCTCTTTCTCCTTTTTCCTCCCTGAATGAATGAAAGGTCCAGAGATGTTATAGTCCCCTTAATCACAAGACAACAAACATGAACACAAAGGTCTATATTGCAGACCAGGTGGAGAGGTGAAAGGAATTAGGGCCCATAAGCCACCAAACTGGGTCTGGACTGCCCACCTCTGGATTTCTTATTGCATAAAATACATAAAAGCTATTGGATTAAGCTATTATAGTAGAGTTTTCTATTAGTGCAGCTGAATGCACTTGCAGTGGATACAAATACAAAATTCTCACGTAAAATTCAAATTAAAGATTATGAAGAAAATCCTCACCAACCCCTCAAATATTCTAAAAAGAATCTCAACGATAAGCTTGCATTTTTGTTTTCTTTACCTGAAGACAACAAATACCACATAACCAATACAACAAAGGGGGGCAGGGGGGCTTGACGGTGGTGAAACTCCAGATTCCAATGCCAAATAAAAATGAGATAGACTGGGGGAGGGAGAAGGGCAGGAGTGTAATCCTAGACAACTACGGTATAATATGGGCTTTATCTAATATTTCCTATATGTCAATTTCCACTGTCAGTGAAGAAAATAAAGCTTATTTCTTGGTCAGAGGAGATTCCAATTCAGTTTTTAAGTCTGAACCTTCAAACTTGGGAAACTTTCCTCCAGATCATCAGCCAGAGTCTTATCAACTTCACGTAGGATTTTAAGAAAGTCTTCCACCTGTGAGTCAAACACAAGAACCAAATAATGTAAGTAGAGGAAAGGGTGGTTTAAGATATTGATTGCTGACATAAAAATACTCTACCTGTGGTTTCTAAACAGTCCAACGGAAAAGAAACATTGACACACCCCAGATGACAGTAACACTACCTCCCGGCTAGTCCTCTGAAACATGAGGAGGTGACCAGCCCTCACTATTTTGCTTTACTCTTGAATTAGTATATATCTTCCTGCCGCTTCCCCTTTAGGTCCATTACTGCAGTTTTATTACCATCCTCCTTGCTGACATGTCCCCTCTCGCCTACATGTCATACTTCATTTTCTTAAAAAAGTTCCTATTTTGAAATTACCTCTAACAGTAGCAAATGTGATATAATTTGAAGAACCATAAAAACCTACTGACTATTCCTAACTAAGAATCTTATTTTTGCTTAACATATATATGCTGTCTACTTTGTAACAGAAAATGGTCAGATAAATTCAGTGTTGATTCCTTTCTCTTAAACTTAGAATCATGATTTCAGGCTAGTCCCATGAATTATCCAGCAGTCATCTATCCCACAAAGGCATTAAGTCGTGTCAATTGTATGCACCATCTTTTTTGACAATGGCCTCAGAGATCAAGCGCCTACTTAAGAACGTCTTACTGAGTAATCCTCTGAAACTCACTACCTACACATTTACTCATACTCACCACAGGGCTATAGAAAGGAAGAAGGTTTTGAAATGCACAGGAACACTTCTGTTTGCTTAACTGGCCCTCCTTTAGTCCCTGAGCCACAGTGTCCTAAAACAAACAAACAAAAGATATAATGTCAAAAAAGGAAAATTTCTAAAGCTATCTCTGGTAAATAGATACAAATCAGTATATACAATTCCCTACTGATCCTATGGGCATTTCAAACGTCCCAAACTGAACCCAGCATCATTCCTCCTAACGTAACGTGCTCCTCCAGAAACGTGCTCCTCCAGAAACGTGCTCCACTACAGCCCTTATTTTAGCGAAGGGCACCACCACCCACCCGTCCTGCTGCACAAGCCAGAAACTCGGGATACAGCCGAGTCTCTTCCTCCTCCTCTGCTGCCAACTCTTCCCCCTAGGTGTTTAATTTTCCTCTTCTATATCTCTCTAATCCCACCTCTCTCTCCATCCACACTTCCACTATTTAGGCTCTCATTATTTTTCAGGTTATTCTTGAATATTACCAACCACAAGAGTCTGTTGCTTGGTCTCTGGGCCTTCAGCCTCGACACTCTCTAAACATCTCTATTACTTTTGGAGTAATTCGTCTAAACGGATCATATCACTTGATGCTTAAAAAAAAGTCTTTAATAGCTCTTCACTTTCCTCAAGATTAAATCCACCTTCCATTAAGTATGTCACAGAAGAATTTTTATGACAAATCCCTGGTCTATTCTCAGCCCACCTTCCCCCTATATTCCTGTCACCTAAAAATAAACATCTATGTCCCTCCCTCCAAAAAAACCAAAAGCAACAGCAAACAATGGGAGAAATATTTGCAATGAATATGCAAAAGATACATTATTACACAAGGAGTTCATGCAAATAATGAAAACAGATAAATTTATAAAGCAGAAAATATAAAATATAATAATGTACAAATATATGGACAGATTTTCAACTTCACTAATAAAAAAGGTAAATCATAATAAGGCACAATTTATCACCTGTTGAACTTTACTTGATATAAAAATTATAACACCCAATAATAAGGACCAAGTAAAATTAACATTTTACATACTCTGTTAATAAAAACATTCTGGCAATATGTAGCCATTATGCTCCAGTCATCTTCACTTTTATAATGTTGAACCCCACAATCTAACTTCTGAAAATCTATGCTAAGGTAACAACTCCATATCTGGAAAAAGAAAGCAGGACAATTCACCGAAAAAAAAAAAAAAAATCACCAGATGGGGCCAGCCCAGTGGCGTAGTGGTTGAATTCGCACACTCTGCATTGGCGGCCCAGGGTTCACAGGTTTGGATCCTGGGTGGAGACTTACTCACTGCTTATCAAGCCCTGCTATGGCAGGCATCCCACATATAAAATAGAAGAAGATGGGCACGGATGTTAGCCCAGGAACAATCTTCCTCAGCAAAAAAGAAAAAAATAAAAGAGGAGGATTGGCAGCAGATGTTAGCTCAGGGCTAATCTTCCTCACAAAACAAAACAAAACAAAACAAAAAAACACCAGGATATAACAGAAACTTGTCTTAAAAAATATCCTTCTTGAAAAAGGAATAAAAGGAATCCAAATAGGTAACGAAGAAGTGAAACTCTCACTATTTGCAGATGACATGATTGTATATATAGAAAACCCTAAAGAATCTGTTGGAAAACTGTTAGAAACAATCAACAACTACAGCAAAGTTGCAGGGTACAAAATCAATCTACAAAAATCAGTTGCATTTCTATATGCTAATAATGAACTAACAGAAAGAGAGCTCAAAAAGATAATACCATTTACAACTGCATCAAAAAGAATAAAATACCTAGGAATAAATCTTACCAAGGAGGTGAAGGACCTATACAATGAGAACTACAAGACATTATTGAGGGAAATCCACGATGACATAAAGAAATGGAAAGATATCCCATGCACGTGGATTGGAAGAATAAACATAGTTAAAATGTCTATATTACCTAAAGCAATCTACAGATTCAATGCAATCCCAATCAGAATCCCAATAACATTCTTCACAGAAATAGAAAAAAGAATACTAAAATTTATATGGGGCAACAAAAGACCCCGAATAGCTAAAGAAATCCTAAAGAAAAAGAACAAAGCAGGAGGCATCACAATTCCTGACTTCAAAACATACTACAAAGCAATAGTAATCAAAACAGCATGGTACTGGTACAAAAACAGACACACAGATCAATGGAACAGAATTGAAAGCCCAGAAATAAAACCACACATATACGGACAGCTAATTTTCGACAAAGGTGCTAAGAACATGCAATGGAGAAAGGAAAGTCTCTTCAATAAATGGTGTTGGGAAAACTGGACAGCCACATGCAAAAGAATGAAAGTGGACCATGTGCTATCGCCATTCACAAAAATTAACTCAAAATGGATCAAAGACCTGAAGGTGAGACCTGAAGCTATAAAACTCATAGAAGAAAATATAGGCAACACACTATTTGACATTGGTTTTAAAGGAATCTTTTCGGATGACATGCCTACCCAGACTAGGGAAACTAAAGAAAAAATAAACAAGTGGGACTTTATCAGACTAAAGAGCTTTTATAAGACAAATGAAACCAGAATCAAGATGAACAACCAACCAACCAGCTGGGAGAGAATATTTGCAAAACATACATCTGACAAGGGGTTGATCTCCATAATATATAAAGAACTCACACAATTGAACAATAAAAAAACAAACAACCTGATCAAAAAATGGGCAGAGGAAATGAACAGACACTTCTCCAAGGAAGATATACAGATGGCCAATAGGCACATGAAAAGATGCTCAACATCACTAATCATCAGGGAAATGCAAATCAAAACAACAGTAAGATACCACCTCACGCCCGTTAGAATGGCTATAATCACCAAGACAAAAAACAACAAATGTTGGAGAGGATGTGGAGAAACAGGAACCCTCATACACAGCTGGTGGGAATGCAAATTGGTGCAGCCTCTATGGAAAACGGTATGGAGATTCCTCAAAGAATTAAAAATAGAGATGCCCTATGATCCAGCCATCCCACTACTGGGAATCTATCCAACGCACCTGAAATCAACAATCCAAAGAGGCTTATGCACCCCTATGTTCATTGCAGCATTATTCACCATAGCCAAGAAGTGGAAGCAACCTAAGTGTCCCTCGACTGATGATTGGATTAAGAAAATGTGGTATATATATACAATGGAATACTACTCAGCCATAAAAAAAGACAAAATCGTCCCATTTGCAACAACATGGATGGGCCTGGAGCATATTATGTTAAGTGAAATAAGCCAGAAAGAGAAAGACAAACACTGCATGATCTCACTCATATGTGGAATATAAACCAACACATGGACAGAGAAAACTGGACTGTGGTTACCAGGGCAGTGGGGGTGGGGGGTGGGCACAAGGGGTGAAGGGAGTCATATATGTGGTGATGGACAAAGAAAAATGTACAACCCAAAATTTCACAATGTTAGAAACCATTAAAACATCAATAAAAAAAAAAAAAAAATCCTTCTTGAAAAAATTCAATGAATATGAACATATTCTTCACAGTTGTATCAATAATATATTTTTTTTCCTCAAATATATGGATAGAAAGTATGCTCAAAGGAAGAATACACTAATAATCCTGAACATATTCAGGAAGAATATTCCTTAAAACCAGTGTGCAGTAAATTTTGAAAACTGATTTTTGGGCAAATTGGGTATTAAACAAACTGGCTCTCAGTGAAAAGTCTTTCAGTGAATTTAGAGTCAGGAAAAGTGTTCATAATACAATGTTAAGTGAAAAGAGCAGTCTATAAAACTTGTATATACTGGGTTATAAGTACATGAAAAAGACATATATAAATACACCAAACCACATCAGTTGCTGGTTTAATTATAAACTTACAGTGATATGCTTTTTCTTTCTCTATTTTCCTCAATTTATGTAATATACTACTTTTATATTTAAAAAAATAACAGTAATCATAAAGTTTGGCACATTAAGTAATTCATACTTTCTTTTGCTGAAGAAACCATCAATACATCTTTCTTACCTTTGTTAATACCTGAAAAATATTAGAAAGAAATTCGCATGAAATATCCTTTAAGATTTTCAAGTGGAAATCATCTTGGGTTAAATCAGACTTTTTAGTTTCTTCCGTGTGAGACTCTGCCGAGTTCTCTGGTTTCTTCTGACATTGTTCCGTATTTTGTAAGACACGAATCAGGCTGTCAATTAAAGGAAGATCTAGCGTACAAACAAATCAACAGGCACGGAATTAGCCAGTTAAATTTGGTTTTTCATTCATTCATTCATTAGTACTGAACACCTACTGGTTCTGGACATCATATTTTAGGTCCTATAGATACAGAGGTAAACAAGATCGTTGAGGCCTCAGCCTTCGAGAGGCTTACATTTTTATACTCTCAAATAAGCTATGAATAAAATGGATCATTTCAGATTTTGGTGAGTTCTATGAAGGAAATTAAAGGGGAATATAATAAAGGAGCTGGCAGGGGTGGCTCTCTGAAGAGGTGACACTGAGTTGTGAACTAAAGGATAAGAAGCATCTATGCAAAGAGACCAGGAAAACATTTAAGGTTTAGGGCAGGAGAGGGGGTGAGGGTTAATTAGTGGCTTAGGGTTAAAGAAGCATCTTTACACTTCCTTGCGCAATCATAAAGATCATACATAAAGTTTCGGGGAGCCAGGGAAGGATAAAGAACACTGAGTCACATAAGATCAAGAAAGATGTGTTGTTCCTAGTATTTCAAATAAAAACCGTCCAAATGATTTTCAACAGAAAGCTCATATATACAAGGAGGTTAGAAACAGCATTGGGACTCAAAGTCAGCTTTTCTTCCCTTTTCCTTTCAGAAATCACCACCAAGAAACAAAGAAAACAAGCAACAAAAAATAGACTCCAGTTTGGAAGAAATTAGGAGACAGCTGAAACCTCAAACACAAGGTAAGTGGAAACAGTGTGAAAGTAAATCAACAGGGGGTACGGGAAGAAGTGATGAGAGGATGCCTCAGGCTGCCGATCTCAGAAAGGGCCCGAAAAGTCCTTCTCTCTGAGGTACAGCACAGACTCTGAGGAGCAAGGCCCAGAACCCCTTGTTCTCAACAGCAGGAATGGAGTGCGCAGGATAACAGCTGGTGCCTCCCCGGGGTTCTAAGAAGCAGAGGATGAGGGGGCAAGCGAGGAATCCCATGGACCAGCCACACTTGCAGGAAGTACATGGCAAGGGGAAAGCCACCTCTTGCCTGGGAAAAAGAGCCAGAAGACTCAGAGACCCAACTCCCGTTAGCCTAGAATGCAGCCTAACCCGCTCTCCTACATGAACTTCCTGCCAACAGCTAGTCCAGGAAAAGCTCAATTCATTGAAAGATGTGAACACACAAAGAAACCAGCACAGGAGCAACACAAAGACACTAAAAGAAAAAAGAAAGAAGAAAAACAAATGGCAGATAAGAATATTCATCAGAAGAAGTTGACATGAAGCTTATGACTATTAAGATAATATTTGGCCACGAGTTTTAATACAACAACATGTAATCAAGCAGAAAGCAGAGATATGAGAGCTCAGACTAAGAAACGAATGACAACAGGAGAGGAAACCTGAGCAGCAGAACTCAAGGCAGAAGTGAAAAGAAGAAATTAAAGCTACCACAGAAATGAAGGCATAACGGACAATAGCACTCGGGGCCGGCCCCGTGGTGTAATGTTTAAGTCTGGCGCACTCCATTTTGGCGGGCTGGGTTCACTGGTTCAGATCCCAGGCGCAGACCTACACCACTCATCAAGCCATGCTGTGGCGGCGACCCACATACAAAACAGAGGAAGACTGGCACAGATGGTAGCTCAGGGCTAATCTTCCTCAGCAAAAAGAGGAAGATTGGCAACAGATGTTGGCTCAGAGTGAAGCTTCCTCAGCAAACAAACAAACACAAATGGACAGGAGCACAAAGTAGAGCAGGTGCTGCTGAGAACACAGCCTGGGCGTGGAGGGGGGAAGGGAGAGCAAAACAAAGGCATGGAAAGGAGATTCCACGTAAGACTGTAACTCTCAAAGAAGAAACGCAAAACGATGGAACAGAACAAATATTTTTTTTTAATATTTTATATAATTCAGGAATGCCACCCTCAAGACTTGAATTTATAGTTTGAAAGTACCAGGAAAAGGTGATAAGGAATTGTCAACACTAAGATATACTGCTTAAGTTATTAGATTTTAAGAATTAAAAAAAAGTTGGCATGCAATTATAATTATATTTTGGGAGCAGTTATAATTATAAAGGTAACCACTAGACCACAAATACACACCTTCCTAAATGTTAGAACTCCACACAGAAACAAAGCAAAGAAACCATATGCTGGTTTATTTAACTGTAAATATACATAATGGAAAATATACCATAATAGCATTTAGAGCAAACATAACTACCATATCAATAAATTTAAATGAGTTTAACTTACCTACTGAAAAGAAATCAACACACCTAAAGCAGAGTATTTAGGAAGGTTGAAAAGACAAGGACAGGCAAAGGTATCAGTGGCAAATGCAAACAAAAGGAAAACGGGGTGTGATGTTTATATCTGATATACAGGATTCAGGACAAAAAAGTATGAAAAGAGACAAAGATGGGCGATTTATAATGAATGTCTATACAGCAAATAACGTGATGTAATACTCATTAAGCAAACTAGAAATGACAAAACATGAAAGAGACATAGTAATTGTAAAAGATATCAATTTTTCTTTCATTTCACATCAAATCAAGTCAAAAGAAAGCACTAAGGCACAGAAGAGCTCATCGACCTGACAACTGACAGCTCCAACATTTATACTCCAGCTCAAGCCACCTCCTCGGAGCCAGATTACAAACTGCCCACTCAGCACCTCCACTAGGACAGCGAGAAGACACCTCAAACGTATTTAAACCAGTCTTTCCTCCTAAAAGTTCTCATCACAAGGGAAAAAACATTTTTCCTGTAACTATGTGAGGTGAAGGACGTTAACTAAACTTACTGTGGTAATCATTTCCCAGCATATGTATGTCAAGTCACCACGCTGTATACCTTAAACTTACACAGTGCTGTATGTCCATTATATCTCAATAAAACAGAAAGGAAAACAAAAAAATCAGTCTTTCCCATCTCAGGAAATGGCAAGTCTTTTGGACAAAACTGCCAGATATATCTTGACTTTTCTCTTCTCACCCTCCCCATCCTGTCCGCAGATCCTGTTGGCACTACCTAAAAATGATCAAAATCTGACTATTTATTCCACCACCTCTACTGTTACCACCTTGAGCCATGTTATATCATCCCTTGCCTCAAGTTCACACAGCGTCCTAACTAGTCTCCCTGGTGGACCTTTGCCCCGCTCTGTTTCTTATCAACACGGCAGCCAGAGGGACCTATTAATGCCAGCTCCTATCTGTCCATCCTCTGCTTAAAACCCTCTGCAGTGCCCTATCTCATTTGGAGTAAAGGCTGACTCAGGCCCTCTACTCTCTAGCCCCTCTCGCCTCTCTGGCCCACGTGCTATTTCTCTTTCCCGGGTGGACTCCTCCCCACCCACACAGGGCCTCACTACTCTTCCTCAGACATTCCAGGCACGCTTCTCGTTCAGGCTTTGACATCTGCTGTTTCCTCTGTCTGCAACGCTTTCCTCCCCAAGTATTCACAGGACTCACTCCATTATTTCCCTTAAGTCTGTACTTAAAGCCACCTTCTCAATGAGGTAACTTATTTACCATAAATGCAGAAAAGACCCTTGAAGATATGCAACATCCATTTTTTATTAAAAACTCTTTTTTAATAAAATAGGAATAGATTAACATCTCCTTAAATGGAAAAACATAAATAGCTTAAGCCCAAAACAGTATCATGACTAATGGTGAAACTCTAGAATCATTCCCAATAAAGTCAGGAACAAGGTAAGGACATTTTCTACCATCATTATTATTTAACATCAGAGGTACAAGGCGACCCACTAGATAAGAGAAAGAAATCAGAGGTAGAAAAGTGATAAAACATGTCTAACAAACTCAAAGCAGTATCAGATAAAGCCCAAGATCATCACTGGAACAACTATTAAAAACAGTAAGAGAATTTAGTAAGGTTACTAGACGCAAAATTAGTATAGAGAACACAATGGCCTTCATATATTCCAACAACAATAATCAATGGAAGAAAAGACATCACAGACAATAGCAATGCAAAAGATAAAATATCTAGGAATAAATCTAATAAGAAATGTGCAATATCTCTATGAAGAAAATCATAGAACATTATTGAGGATGCAAAATAAGACGAACAAGTGGAAAAGTACAATATGTTCTTGGATACTCTAGAAACTTAACATAATCCCAATAAAACTATCAAGAAGATTTTCTGTTTTTTGTAACTTAGTCTAATTCAGTGTTAAACAAGAATAATAGTCAAAAACATTCTGAAAAATTAGAATGAAGGGGACTAGCCCTACTAAGTATTAAAACATAAAGCTTTAATGATTAAAACACTATGGCTACTGACACATGAATAGAGCAATGGAAGTGAACAAAACACACAGGGAAATTTAAAACAGTAATGATGAAATTTCAAACTAGTGTGGATAAACTGGTTTCTTCACAGACAACTGGGGAGCCATCTGGAAAAAGTTCAAACCATAACTCACATGTAACACCAGAAAAAATTCTAGGTGGGTCATGGATTTAATATCAGTCATTAAGTTCATTCTGTAAAAGAGCATTTGTTCACATGGGAAAATATTCATTTTATACTTCTAAATGAAGAAAGGTGCCTAAAAAGCAGGACTTAAAAACATATATGCATGTGAATATGTAGTAATTATCTCTGATGGAGGGATTACAAGCACTATGTTTTCTTTCATAAATTTTACAGATTTTCTTGTATTGAGTATGTTATATTTTTGTAATCAGGGGAATAAAAGCACAAAAGAGAGATAAAAAAAAGAATGGAAGAAAGAAACCAAATAAACAGCAAACACAAGCCTCGGCTCTAAAATCTGATAGACTAGAACTTAACTCAGAGAACTAAATGATACTTGCCTTTTTCTACCTTTAGATACTCCTGTTCAGCCTGTGAAGCATAGATGGCAGACAACACCGAAAAAATAGAGGCTAGCACTGTTTTCTGTTCTTGAAGTATGATGGGGGGATCATCAGACTGGCAGAATTCATGGCAGACCAGGTCAAAAAGCAAATTCCAAGTGTCTTTTCCAGTATCAGGACACTGTACTTAAAGATGATAAAGAAAAGTAGTAATTTAAAAACAGACAACAATTAAATGAGTAAGCATAGTGCTTCCCCATAAAACAGCTTACCAATTGCTTGAATTCCATCATCCACTGTGGTAAGCAGCTGTAAGATATGCATGTAAACATCGAGCCCTTCTGGATTTTCAGAACTAAATACAAAAAGCAAAAGCACTGACTCAGCAACTTTACTGTCTATGGGACTGCAATCATTCATTCATTCACAAATATTTATCACTCTACTAGTCACTGCCCTAAGTGCTGAGGATAAAACAGGGAACAGGACAAAGTTGCTGTGCTCACTGGAGCTTACATTCTAATAGGGGAATCAGTCAAACAAACAAATATTATGGAATATAATCAACACACAGGACAAGAGGTAAGAATTCTTTTTGGCCCTGTCCCACAAAAGCAACAATGCAGAAACCTGCTAGGTGGTACTCCATCATTCTGGTTTACTTGAATAATCAGAACAAAAAATGCTAAGACTTATAAAATGAATGACAGGCCCAGTGCACCAAGCATTGACAATAACCATGTTCCTAAAACTTCATAGTATTATCTTGGCTCCCTAGCTGAGAATACTAAAACCATATAAGTATAATTTTTGTGATCAACAGCTTGGATTCCTAGAAACTCACAGTCTTAGTTCTTCAACCAAACAATTAAGTGAAAAGATAGTGAACAATTAAAAAGATGGTTCAGCAAATATTTAAGTACCTACTGCTTTCAGGCACTATGACAGGGGCTGGGAAAACAGATGTACAAGACACTGTCCCTACCTTCATGAAGTTTATAGTCTAAAAGGAAAGAGAATAATTAGAGGGGTGATTACAAGGAAGCGCTATGAGAGTAACACTAGAGGAAGTCCAAGGTGCTAGAGGACCACAGAGCAAGCAGACTTAATTTAGTTTGGAGAGTCAGGAAGGGTGTCCCAAGAGAAACGATGTTTACACAGAAACCTGAAGCGGTAAAGAAATGTGTGGAGTAGAGGAGACATAGTATGCAAAGGCCTGGAGGCAAGAGAGCTTGGTTCAGTTGAAGAAATGAAAGAAATTTCATATGGTTGAAACAGAGCACAAGGAATAAGGAAGCAGAGGTCTGTGCAGGGCCTTATAAGCCACATTTTTAAAAAATCTGGACCTCATCCTCAGGAAGGCAACTGAAGAGTCTGAAGCATGACAGTGAGGTGATGAGTGTGTGCTTTGGAAAGAGGGCTCTAGAGTCGAGGCTTGGAAGAAGGAAGCCTTGAGGCAGGGAACGCAGGTGAGATAATGTTGCAGCTGTTGAGCTGAGAGACAGTGGCCTGGTGATGGCACGGATGGGATCCCAGGAACAAAGTCAGGAACAAGGCTTGATGTTGACTGGCCACGGGCAACAGTGAGATGGGGAAAAGTCAGTAAAGGCTTCCATATTTCTTCCACATTATCCAAATGGGATAATGACTGCATCATTCACTGAGATTGGCAATACTGAAGAAGCAGGTTTGGGGGAAAGAGAATGAGTTTAATTGTCACTTGGATAAAGGACATAAAATTAAAAGGCTTTAAGGTGGGTTGTTAAGCGCTAAGAATGCACAACTGACCATTAAGCAGATCAATTCATAAATTAATTGTCTAGTGACTAGAAATAAACAGTTCCAATGACCTACAAGACCTAGTGATCACTCTTGGCAAGACATCAGAGCCCAAAAGTCAGTCACTTACCCAAGACCGGCATTTATACACAAGGAACAAGAAAACAAATGTATCTGACATTCTAATTGAAGAAGTTGTTAGACGTTCAACGGAACATAAAGCACAAGAAAATATTTTCTATTGATTTAAATTAAACAAAACTGCAGATTTCAAGACAGTAACCATAATTAATGCTGAACAACAGCCTATAGCTAAGTCACATTATAAGAGGTACTTTGTAACCATTATGATTCTTGCAAAGAGCAAGGAGCTGTGTGCTATTCATCCTGTCAAAAGGAAATGAAAACTTACATCCAAGGATATTCTAGCAACTGGATTTTCCCAGAACACTTTGCACCAAAGAACTCGCCTACCGTACTTGTTTGGCAGCTTCAAGTACACAGGGCACAATTCTAAACACTGGCTGCTCTTCGGAATCTTCCTGGGGTTGGTCCAGAGACTGAACAGCCCCATTTCTAATCCACTCCAGCATTAGCTTCTCATCCAAATCAAAAAGCTTGTCCACAACCTCCCCCACCTTCACCAGCAAGTCAACTGTAGAGAATAAAACAGATATTGAAATGAGACACAAAATTTTAAAAGCAATAATCAAAATTCTGAAAGCTATCCAAGAAAGCCAAATCTTACCAAAGCATTACCTATTGCAGGGCCAATTTATTTACTTCCTTTGTTTAAATTTGCTTATCTTCCTTCATTTTTTTTTTTGCTGAGGAAGATTCGTCCTGAGCTAACATCTGTTGTCAATCCTCCTCTTTTAGCTTGAGGAAGATTCACTCTGAGCTAACATCTGTGCCAATCTTCCTCTATTTTGTATGTGGGCCGCCACCACAGCATAGCCACCGACCAGGGGTCTAGGTCCACGCCTGGGAACAGAACCGTGGCTGCTGAAGTGGAGCGCGCCGAACTTAACCACTAGGCCACGGGACTGGCCCTCTTCCTTCACCCCTTGTGCCTACCCCCCAACCCCCCTTGCCCCTGGTAACCACCATACAGTTCTCTCTGTCCGTGTGTTAGTTTACCTCCCACTTATGAGTGAAACCATGCGGTGTTTGTCTTTCTCTTTCTGGCTTATTTCATTTAACATGATACCCTCCAGGTCCATCCATGTTGTTGCAAATAGGACAATTTTGTCTTTTTTTATGGCTGTGCAGTATTCCATTGTATATATATACACCACATCTTCATCCACACATCAGCCGAGGGACACTTGGGTTGCTTCCATGTCTTGGCTATAGTGAATAATGCTGCAATGAACATACGGGTGCATAAGCCTCTTTGGATTCTTGATTTCAGGTTCATTGGGTAGACACCCAGTAGTGGGATAGCTGGATCATAAGGTATTTCTATTTTTAATTTTTTGAGGCATCTCCATACTGTTTTCCATAGAGGCTGTGCCAGTTTGCATTCCCACCAGCAGTGAAATAGGGTTCCCGTTTCTCCACAGCCTCTCCAGCATTAGTTGTTTTTTGTCTTGGTGATTATAGCCATCCTAGTGGGGGTACAGTGATATCTTAGTGTCGTTTTGATTTGCATTTCCCTGATGATTAGTGATGCTGAACATCTTTTCATGTGCCTAATGGCCATCTGTATATCTTCTTTGGAGAAGTGTCTGTTCATTTCCTCTGCACATTTTTTGATCAGGTTTTTTTTTGTTGTTCAGCTGTGTGAGTTCTTTATATATTACGGAGATTAATCCCTTGTCAGATATGTGGTTTGCAAAAATTTTTTCCCAGCTGGTGGGTTGCCTATTCATTTTGATGTTGGTTTCATTTGCCTTATAGAAGCTCTTTAATCTGATGAAGTCTCACTTGTTTTTCTTTTGTTTCCCTTGTGTGAGTAGACATGGAATTTGAAAAGATCCCTTTATGACTGATGACCAATAGTGTACTGCCTATATTTTCTTCCAGGAGTTTTATAGTTTCAGGTCTCACCTTCAGGCCTTTGATCCATTTTGAGTTAATTTTCATGTACGTCGAAAGCAGATGGTCTACTTTCATTCTTTTGCAAGTGGCTGCCCAGTTTTCCCAGCACCATTTATTGAAGAGACTTCCTTTCTTCATCGTATGTTCTCGGCTCCTTTGTTGAAGATTAGCTGCCCGTAGATGTGAGGTTTTATTTCTGGGCTTTCAATTCTGTTCCATTGATCTGTGTGTCTGTTTTGTACCAGTATCATGTTGTTTTGATCATTATTGCTTTGTAGTATATTTTGAAGTCAGGGATTGTGATGCCTCCAGCTTTGTTTTTTTTCCTCAGGACTGCTTTAGCTATTCCAGGTCTTTTGTTGCCCCCTATTAATTTTAGTATTCTTTGTTCTATTTCCGTGAAGAATGTCATTGGGATTCTGATTGGGATTGCATTGAATCTGTAGATTGCTTTAGGTAGTATGGACATTTAAACTATGTTTATTCTTCTAATCCACATGCATGGAATATTTTTTCATTTCTTTATGTCATCACTGATATCACTCAATAATGTCTTATAGTTGTCATTTACAGGTCTTTCACCTCCTTGGTTAAATTTATTCCTAGATATTTTATTCTTTTTGTTGCGATTGTAAATGAGACTGTCTTCTTGAGTTCTCTGTTAGTTCATTATTGGCATATAGAAATGCAACTGATATTTCTAAGTTGATTCTGTACTCTGCAACTTTGCTGTAGTTGTTGTATTTCTAAGTTTTCCAATGGATTCCTTAGGGTTTTCTACATATAAGATCATGTCATCTGCAAACAGCGAGAGTTTCACTTCTTCATTGCCTATTTGTATTCCTTTTATTCCTTTTTCTTGCCTAATTGCTCTGGCCAAAACCTCCAGTACTGTGTTGAACAAGAGTGGCGAGAGTGGGCACCCTTGTCTTGTTCCTGTTTTCAGAGGGATGGCTTTCAGTTTTTCCCCATTGAGTGTGATATTGGCTGTGGGTTTGTCATATATGGCCTTTATTATGTTAAGGTACTTTCCTTCTATACCCATTTTGTTGAGAGTTTTTATCATAAATCGATGTTGGCTCTTGTCGAATGCCTTCTGTGCATCTATTGAGATGATCACGTGGTTTTTATTCCTCATTTTGTTAATGTAGTGTATCACATTGATTGATTTGCGGATGCTGAACCACCTCTGTGTCCCTGGTACAAATCCCAATTGATCATGGTGTATGATCTTTTTAACGTATTGCTATATTCTGTTTGCCAATATTTTGTTGAGGATTTTTGCATCTATGTTCATCAGGGATATTGGTCTGTAATTTTCCTTCTTAGTACTGTCCTTTTCTGGCTTTGGTATCAGGGTTGGACTTGTAGAATGTGTTAAGAAGTGTTCCAACTTCCTCTACTTTTTGGAATAGTTTGAGAGGGATAAGTATTAAATCTTCTTTGAATGTTTGGCAAAATTCTCCAGAGAAGCCATCTGCTCCTGAACTTTTATTTTTGGGGAGGTTTTCGATTACTGTTTCAATCTCTTTACTTGTGATTGGTCTATTCAGATTCTCTATTTCTTCTTGATTCAGTTTGGGAGGTTGTATGAGTCTAAGAATTTATCTATTTCTCCTAGATTGTCCAATTTGTTGGCATATAGTTTTTCATAATATTCTCTTATAATCCTTCGTATTTCTGTGGTATCTATTGTAATTTCTCCTTTTGCATTTCTAATTTTATTTATTGGAGCCTTCTCTTTTTTTCTTGGTGCGTCTGGCTAAGAGTTCCTCTGTTTTGTTTATCTTCTCAAACAACCAGCTCTTTGTTTCATTGATACTTTCTACTGGTTTTTGGTTTCAATTTCATTTATTTCTGCTCTACTTTTTATTATTTCACTCCTGCTGACTTTGGGCGTTGTTTGTTCTTCTTTTTCTACTTCTGTTAGGCGTAGTTTTGGGTTGCTTATTTGCACTTTTTCTTGTTTGTTAAGGTGGCCCTGTTTTGCTATAAGTTTCCCTCTCAGGACAGCTTTTGCTGCACCCCGTATGAGTTGGTACGGTGTATTTTCATTTTCATTTGTTTCCAGATATGTCTGATTTCTCCTTTAATTTCTCTAATGATCCATTGGTTGTTCAGCAGCATGTTGTTTAGTCTCCGCACCTTTGTCACTTTCCTGGTTTTTTCTTGTAGTTGATTTCTAGCTTCATGGCACTAAGATGCTTGTCAGAAAAGATGCTTGTTATGATTTCAATCTTCTTAAATTTATAGAGGCTTGCCTTGTTTCCCAACATATGGTCTATCCTTGAGAATGTTCCATGCGTGCTTGAGAAGAATGTGTAATCTGCTATGTCTGGATGGAGTGCTCTCTATATATCTATTAAGTCCATCTAGTCTAGTTTTTCATTTAAGTCCACTATTTCCTTATTGACTTTCTGTCTGGATGATCTATCCATTGATGTAAGTGCAGTGTTAAGATCCCCTACTATTATTGTGTTGCTGTTAATATCTCCTTTTAGGTTTGTTAATAGTTGCTTTATGTACTTTGGTGCTCCTGTGTTGGGTGCATATATATTTATAGGTGATATGTCTTCTTGGTGGAGTGTCCCTTGTATCATTATATATTGCCCCTCATTCCCTGTTTTATCTTGAAGTCAACTTCGTCTGATATAAGCATGGCAATAGCTGCTTTCTTTTGTTTGCCATTAGCTTGGAGTATTGTCTTCCATCCTTTCACTCTGAGCCTGTGTTTGTCTTTAGAGCTGAGATGTGTTTCTTGGAGGCAGCAAATTGTTGGGTCTTATTTTTTAATCCATCTCACCACTCTGTGTCTTTTGATTGGAGAGTTCAGCCCTTAAATGGGGGATTTTTAAACGGGAGTTTAAGAAGCAATTTTAGATCCTGAATTGAAATACGTTCTCACTTCACACTTTTTTTAAGGGAGCTTCAGAAATAATTACACAGTTTCCTAACAATTAAATATAACCAAAAAAATTTTTCCTAGATTCATGGTGACTTACCATTTGTTGAACTTGACATAATGAAGCAAATGCTATCATAAATAGCTGGATGTTCTCGAATTCTCTCAACCCAGACACTGGCCACTTCTGTCTGGGAAAGGCAAGTAAGCAACAACCTGCATGATAAATGTGAGCTTACTATCTGTATTTCAAAAACAGTATAGGAAATTCAAGAATGAAGAATTATCTCTATTGTCCTAGAGTCTCTTATGAGTATACAGAATCCATAAAAAGAGGAAGCATACCTGCTTGTTTCCAGCAGAGTAGGAGGGTCTGAATCATACAAACAGTGCAATAATACCTGTCTATGAAGACAAAAAAGGTAACCCAATATGCCTTACTGCTCTCATTTTAAATACCAAGGTACAGTTTTCATTTAATTTTGTCAACATTTTCATTGTAAAATACAGCATATATACAGAAAAGCTTATAAGATACAAATCTATACTTAATGAATAATTATAAAGCAAACATTTATGTTTCCAAGAAACAGAGCAGTGCTGCACCTCCATAGCACATATGTCCCTTCCAAATCACAATTCTCTTTCCCACTTAGAAATGACTACTATCCTGACTTTCCCAGCAATCATTTCTTTGCTTTATTCTACAGTTTTATTATTCTATATATTCTGGCTTTGAACATTATATGAAAGAAATTATATTTTATGTATTCTTTTGAGTCTAAGTTCTTTTGCTCAACACCACGTCTTTAAGATCTACCCACGTTGCTCTTGTAGCTAGTGTTCTTTGACTCACTGCTGCAGAACATTCTGTTGTATGACTATAACACGATTTATTTTTCCAGCCTACTACTGATGGACATTTGGGTTGATTCCAGTTTGGGGCTATTTCAAGCAAGGCTCCCGTAACACTTTTTGTCTGACTATACTGATGCAGGTGTGCAGTTTCTCTGACCAGATATCTATGAGTGGCATCACCTGGGCACAGCATATGCATATCTGCCAAGTTGACTAGATAATGCCCAACTGTTCCAATGTGGTTGAACAAATTTATGTCCTATCAACAATGTAAACTGTTCCATATTAAATTTAAGCTAAGCATTTATTTATTTATTTTTTGTGAGGAAGATCAGCCCTGAGCTAACATCCATGCCAATCCTCCTCTTTTTGCTGAGGAAGACCGGCCCTGAGCTAACATCTATTGCCAATCCTCCTCTTTTTTTTTTCCCCTCTTCTCCCCAAAGCCTCAGTAGATAGTTGTACGTCACAGATGCACATCCCCCTAGTTGCTGTATGTGGGATGCGGCCTCAGCATGGCCGGACAAACGGTGTGTTGGTGCGTGCCCAGGATCCGAATCCGGGCTGCCAGTAGCGGAGCGCACGCACTTAACCGCTAAGCCACGGGGCCGGCCCCCTAAGCTAAGCATTTAATTGAATTTACAAAAGCTGTTAACATTACTCATTCTCAGATTTTTTGATAGGGACCACTAGAGACCAAACATAATCCTGAGTCATTTACTCCATGAATGATTGTAAATTACTGAGGAATAAATACCTTAAACTAGGATCTTAAAGTCCCTCCACAGCTAGAAAAGATAATCATCTCTATTTTAGAGACCCAGGCACTTGAATCCTGTGATGAACCCTCACAGCCCTAGCTGACAATAACCACCCAAAACACTTTTCTTAACCTATTATGGGCATAAATTTCTTCGAGATTCTGGTTAACAGCCATGAACCCTCCTTCCACAAAATGAATACACTCACAAAATTTAGCATATAATTCAAGGGTGTTCTCAGACCTCTTAAAGTAACTACCAGGGTTTCCACCATTAAAAAAACCCTCTGCCTAACACTTTCTTGCACGTAGAAGAGAACCAGCCTCCAAGCAGAAGTACAAAAGCCTTTGAATCCCAGAGGCAACCCTGTACCTTCCAGTCTGTTGGCAAGTCTCACCCCCTGATCTAAGTCAGACTTCTCAGGGTGACCCTGGCCTGTAAGTCTAGTTTCTCCCAATTCTAGCTCTCTGAGCCCTTGGATTCCGTGAGCCTAAACTGTTTTGGACTCTGGTCAGGAGCCCCCATCTCCAGCTTTGCCCACTTATCTTACCTGGCTTACTACCTGCTGATGATTTAGGTCCCTTTGCTACTGATAAAGAAAACACGTCTAAATCCTGAATCATGTCCGTAAATAGAGTGGAAGCCCTTAGCTACCCTCAACACACAATGGAGTTCCTGGAGAGTGTTCATCAGGAGAAAGGAAGTACTACATTTCATAATATTTTCCTATCTCTCCTATGTGTTAGGATTTTCTTAGGGATACGAAATATGAATCTATTTTTAAAAAACATAATTATTATGTAGTAAAACTTACCCAAGATTTTTATCACTGCTGATAGACACACATATCTCCTGGAAACAGGCCATATTACCTAAAATTCCCACACAGATTTCCTGCCAAATCAAATTTCACAGGTCATAATGGCTCTGAGGTGAAAGACATATATACAAAATAAATAACTTAAAAAAAAACCTTCCAGGGGCCAGCCGGGTGGTGCAAGCAGTTGGGTGCGCGCGCTCCGCTGCGGCGGCCCAGGGTTCGCTGGTTCCGATCCCGGGCGCGCACTGACGCACTGCTTGGCAAGCCATGCTGTGGTGGCATCCCATATAAAGTGGAGGAAGATGGGCACAGATGTTAGCCCAGGGCCAGTCTTCCTCAGCAAAAAGAAGAGGATTGGCAGATGTTAGCCCAGGGCCGATCTTCCCCAAAAAAAAAAAAAAAAACCCTTCCACTGAGCCAAGTTTGGGGGGGGAAGAGAAGGGTAGGCAGCATATAAAACTAATATAGAAGTACACTGCCTGCACCCTACCCATGACAAGTTTACAGGATTTGAGAAGGAATGAAAGACACAAGAAAGAGAAAGATCAAACACTGGCAGGAGTTACAGAAGAAGAAATCTTATGGGTGAACTGAATCTTAAATGGTTGGTAGGATTTAGACGTGCAAACAAGAAGACAGACACTCAAACAAGGGGGCAAGTGTTGGCAGAGGCGGGAAGGGAATGATGTACATGGCTAACACAGGGGCCAGTAAAGAAAGCAGCTGGGCTGAGCACGTGGTGGGGGAACAGCATGAGATAAACATGGCAGGGAACAAGGACCAGCACTAGGGGCCCGAAAGCCATGTTGAAGAGCTTAGACATAATCTAGGAGGTTATCAGGAGCCATGAAGGTTCTCAAGGAGAAGGGGACAACACGGATGATTATTCTGGCAGCAAAATGCACAATGCAAGACAGTGAAGAAACTTTAAAGCAAGTTAATAACCTCAGTAATAACAGCTAACGTTTATTTAGCTCCTGCTTTGCCCAGGCACTACTCTAAGCACTTTCCATTGTCATCTCATGTGATAACTCATGAGGTACGTACTATTATTATCCCCATTTTTCAGATGAGGAAACTGTGGCACAGAAAAGTTAAGCAACGTGCCCAGGATTTCCAACTAGGAAACAGCAGAGCTCCAGAGCCTGAGTACTAAACCACTATGCCACACTGCATCTCAGGTATCAAGGTGCAGAAGATGAGGGTGGTGATGGCAGGCATGGAAAGGGATGAAGCTGAGACAGACTCAAGGTGAAAGCAAAATAATTTGATGGGAGGCAAACAGAGAAAGCAGCTGAACATGACTCTTAGGTTTCAAGTTGCTTCATTTCTCCAGACACAGGAGACAACGGTCCCACTGACAGGAAAATTGGAAAAGAAATCATAGAAAAGAATACAATAAAATTCAGCTAAGACAGCGTTCCCAAACTTGCTGGAACATAGAATCACTCAGGGAGCATGTTAAAAGTACAGATTTCTGAGTCCCATCTCAGATCTATGGAATCGAATCTTCAGGGGAGGGCCTGAGAAGCTACTCCTTACCAAGCAGACCATGTGATTTTTATGATCAGAAAGTGTGATCACCACTGAGTTAGGACATATGGAATTTTGAAGTGGAAAATGCAGCATGCAAACAGAAGATGCCTGAAGCAAGTTGGAGATGCAGCACCAGAAACGAGAAGGGAGGTCAGAGCTTTGATCCCACACGCAAAGATCTGCAACTTAGGGGCCGGCCCCAGGGCGTAGTGGTTAAGTGCGGCGCTCCGCTGCTGGCGGCCCGGGTTCGGATCCCAGGCGCACACCAATGCACCGCTTGTCAGGCCATGCTGTGGTGGCGCCCCATATAAAGTGGAGGAAGACAGGCACAGACGTTAGCCCAAGGCCAGTCTTCCTCAGCAAAAAGAGAGGAGGATTGGCATGCATGTTAGCTCAAGGCTGATCTTCCTCACAAAAAAAAACAAAAAAAACAAAAAAGATTTGCAACTTAAAGATGTAAAGAGTGGACAAGCTCCCTAAGAAAATGAATATAAAGAGGACAAGGGATCTGGGTCTACACCTTAGAAGGAGTCCACACTCAAGAAAGAAAAACGCCAATGAAAGTGAGAGAAAAGTGACTGAAGGGGTCAGAGACCAGGAGAGTCAGGTGGCACTGAAGCTTCAAGAGTGGAGAATTTTAATAAAATGTGGGTGGTCAATGTCGGGAAAAGAGTAAGAGAGTAGAGGCAGAAAAGAAACATACCCATTTCTCTTACAAACTAAAGAGGGAATAATTGAACTTCCAATCAAAGGCCAACTTTCTCAGTCTTGGCTGCTCACAGGGTTTACCTGGGGAACTTTAAAAGCTGTTGGAGCCTCACACCTGGAGATTCTGTTTTAAATGATCTGGGTATGGCCTGACTCAGGATTTTTAAACATTCCTTAGGGCAAAGCTTCTCAAAATGGGCCCTGGGTCCAGAGCACTAGCATCACCTGGGAACTTGTTAGAAATTCTCAACTCTTCCCCAGGCCTACTGGGTCGGAAACTCTGGGAGTGGGCCCAGTAATCAGTGATTCTGGGATATGCTGAAGTTTGAATACCCATGTCTTAGGTGATTCTACTGTGTGGCCAAGACTAAGAATCATTGCCGTAGACAGGCTGTGGCTCACAGACATATGTAATGATATGACTAACTCAGAAAGGAGTCATTCTTGACATAAGCTTATTTTCTTTAAGTACTAATCGTGAGTTAATATATTTAAATTAGAAAAATCCAGGAGAAAAGTCATATAACTGTCAAATCTTTATAATATTAACATAACGAGCCAAAGAAAAAGTGGTTCGTTAGACTCCAATTCAGGTGTAGCATTCTACTAAATAGAATTTTAATTCAACACTCAAGGTGAAAAAGTATAATACAGAATTCTCCACTTTATAAACTCAAAGAAAGAGAGGCAGTATAGTACGGTGGTTAGTTATACTGAAGTCAGACAGGTCTAGGCTCAAATCCAAGCTCCATTCTTTCCTACTGGTGTGACCCTGGACACATTTCTTAGCCTGAGACTTAGTTCTTTTATTTATAAAGTGGAGATAAATGCCTACCTCATAGGGCAGTAAAATCAAATACTCAGTAAGTAACAGTTGTTCATAATTATAATTACTTAACAGATATTTACTAATCACCCACGATATGCATGTCACATGGCAACCTAAATGGTACTAAAGCACAGAACACAGATAAAACCTAAATGAGAAGTACAGATAATTGTTTTGGGGATTTTACTATCAGCAATGGCCAGTGGAGCTTACTTCTTCGGGAAGACTTGGAAGAAAAATATTACCTGGAATAACTGATGTGAAGATTGAGAGGGACGGAAGGCAGACAAAGGGAGGCAAGGGGGTGCTGATGATCACAGTACGCTCCTGAGAGGAGGAGCAGATAGGCCTGGCTAAATTAGAAGGACCATCTGCAGTGGAGATTTTATGCTGCAGAAGATGAATTAGATTCAGATTATGGACAGTCCTGAGCAATAGGCTGAATTCAGAATGAAAGTTTTTAAGCAGTGGAGGATTTTATAAATAAAAAAGACCAATAAACTGAGCAATGGGACGTCTAGGCACTGTTCCTTATTCTGCCACATCTTAGCGACGTAACTTCGGTTGTGCTAATCTGGTTTCCACAACTGTTAAATGAAAGTATTGATCTCCCTAGTTCAGCCCAAATCTAAAATTCTATGACTCTAATAATTTTAAATAGCCCATTATCTAGTATCTAGTGGTCAATAAACATTTGCAGACTGATTTGTAGCCAGCAAAAAATTAAAGTGAGAAAAATAATATACTATCTGCTATTATTGCTCCAAAGAGGAAGGCTTTAGAAATGTACATACTTACTCTTAATCGAGGACATCTGGATTTGGCCAACACTCCCATAAATATGTCAGGAGCATTAAATTCTTGGAGAAATAAAGCCACATCCTAAAAATAAAAATGATCATTAACTTGGATGTTGAATATTCCTCTTTAAACCCCAGAGCTTAGGCAACCATAAAAAAAACCCAAAAAACTTAATTCCATATATACTTCCTTTCAGGCACAAGAGAAAAAAAACCCATAAGGTTAGGAATTGTGTCAACAGAGAAAAGTAACATTAGAGAGTCTTTGTGGTATCTGGTCCCAAGGCAATGGAACAATTCCATAAACAAATCAGCTAACTATGATGTTCCAAAGGACTGTCCTCCCTTTTCTGCCTTAATGATTCTTCTACCACCAGGAATGCTCATTATCTCATTCAAGCACACTTGCTGATTGCCACATAGCATGTTAGAAGCTGAGGATCAGGAAACAGAGTAAAACTCATAATTCCTGTCTTCCAAAAGCTTAAAACACAACAGGGAAACAGGTGAAAACTCCTATTGGGTCAGGCCCCAAGTCAGAACTTGTGTTTTCAAAATCCTCAGTAGAAAAGAATTCTGATCATAATGTAACTGCAACAGCTTCCTCCTTCCTTCCTAGATTGTTTGGTCCACACAACTAAAAGAACAGACCACACAGGGGAATGCACCTGGAGTGGACATGTGACCCCCATCTCACCGAGAAATGTAGGCCCCAAAACTAAATCAGTTAGCCGTGGAGATCTGTACTGTAAAATATTTAAATAAAACTAAGTTTCTGGCTGTCCAATGCCTAGGATTTCCTCCAAACTTGAGGCATATACTTGGGATAATTTAACTTAAAACACAGGCTACATGGCTTACGTGAAAATTCACTTTGAAAGGCCCTTGGGGGCATCTCAAAGAGAGAGGCAGTAATCTTCAAAGCAGCTGAAACCAAGACAACCTGCATGAGACCGCTGACTGGGAGACATACTGTACTTATGAAGAGACCACAGCCAGAAAAAACAATGTTTTCAAAGATACACTCCAAACAGAAAGTCACAGCAGCAGATGCTCTCCACCCCAAGTGATCAAACTGTTTGCCATGTGGGCAACTCTTTGTAGCATACAGGGATTTATTTATTTACTGAGAGTTAACAATTCCTGGAGAAGCACAAGGTGGCCTAACAATATCAACAGCAAAAATAATAATGGCAATTAACATTTATTGAAAAGTATTAAATGTCAGGCATAGCAAAATGGTTTGCATACTATCTCATTAAATTCTTAAAACAACCCTATAAAGCAGTTATTAGTACTAGCACTATTACAGTAATAAACAAACTGAGGTTTTAAAAGTTACGGTAAGCAACCTGCCCAAAATTATGCAACCAGTAGAACAGAGCCAGGATTTGAACCCAGAGGAGTCTAACTTGAGGCCATGCTCTTAACCACCATACCAGGCTACCTCTCAGGTACTCATTCATTCATTCTTCACCAAATATTTACTGAAAAACCTAAGTAACAGGCACTGTCTTAGGTTCTAGGGACACATCAGTGAACAAATTAGATAAGGTCTCAGTCCCATGGAGTTTTCATTCTAATGGGACGAACAAACAATAAATACATAAACAACTAAACTACATAATTTCTAAGCGCTATGAAGAAAATAAACAAGATGGTGTGTGCTAGAATCCAAGATAAGGAGGTCCACTTTAGATGATCAGAAAAGGTATCTTTGAAGAGGTGACATTAAGCTTTTACAAGAAGGAACCTAAATCTATCAAGGGACACAGAGGCCCAAAACTATCACTGAATAACTCGATAAGTATTATGCAACAGAGTGAACAGTTTCCATGAGAGCACAGGAGAGAGATGAACTCTGCCTGGAGTGTCTGGGGAGGCATCACAGAGGAGATGACATTTAAGCTGGGCTATAAAAGATGAGATTTTGCCAGTTGGAGCCATTCTAGGCAGAGAGTGCCATGAACAGAGCATGAATGCAGGAAAATGCAGGAAGTAGCTCTGTTCCTGCTCAAGCATTGAGCAGTAGGAGCTAGGGCTGAAATGCAGTCTCATTGGAAGGCCTTTATGCCAGACACCTCAGTGATTGGTGGACAGCTCAGTTCTCTCGAGGTGCCTCAAGAGCCTCCCTAAGAGGGTGAAGAGGAGGCCAAGACCATGACCCTCCCCTCCACCAACAACCTCATTCAAACAGCAGCTGTTTATCTACTTTATATCTGAGGATTCCACACTAAGATTCATTTGGAAAACAGCATCTATTTCTTAAAAAAAAAGATTCTTTTTAAACCACAGCTTCTCAATAATTGTAGAACAAGTGGAAAGACGACTTGAAAAATACTCTTAACCATCTTGATCTGTCATTTATAAGACACTCCACACTTCAGCAACAGCAGAATACACGTTCTTTTTAAGTGACCATGGAACATTTACCAAGACAGACTGTATTCTAGGCCATAAAACAAGTCTCAATACATTTAAAAGGATTCAGAGTGTTCAATGACCACAGTAACAGAAAGATATTTGAAAAATTCCCAAATATTTGAAACCTAATGACATACTGCTAAATAACCCATGAACCAAAGAAAAATTAAGGAAAATCAGAAAGTACATTAAACTAAAAGAAATGAAACACAACATATCAGAAGTTGTGGGATACTACTAAAGCAATACTTAGGGGAAAATTTATAATGCTTAAATGCCTATATTAAAAAAAGAATGGTCTCTGGGGGCTGGCTTTGGGGGCTGGCCCAGTGGTGTAGTGGTTAAGTTCACATACTCCGCTTTGGTGGCCCAGGGTTCCCAGGTTTGGATCCCGGCTGTGGACCAACGCACCGCTTATTGAGCCATGCTGTGGTGGTGTACCATATACAAAATAGAGGAAGATGGGCACAGATGTTAGCTCAGGGCCAATCTTCTTCAGCAAAAAGAGGAGGATTGGCAACGGATGTTAGCTCATGGCCAAGCTTCCTCACAAAAAAAAAATGGTCTCAACTCAATGACCTCAACTTTCACTTTAAGAAATCAGAAAAAGAAGAGCAAATTAAACCAGAGTAAGAAGAAAAGAAATAATAAAGATCAAAGTGGAAATCAATAAAATAGAAAACAGTAAAGCGATAGAGGAAATCAATGAAACCAAAGGCTGATTCTTTGTGAAGATCAATAAAATTGGTAAACTTCTAGCCAGACGGATCAAGGAAAAAAGACAAAAGAGATAAATTACCAATATTAGGAATGTGAGAGGTACCATCACTACAGACTGTACAAATATTAAAAGGACAATAATGTAATACTCTGAACAACTTTACACCAATAAATTTGCCAACTTAGATGAAATGGATAAACTCCCTCAAGAACACAAAATACCAAAATAACCTGAATTAGCTCTACATCTATTAAAAGAATTAAATTTATAGTCTTTCGCACAATATACTAAAAACCAATGAATGGTGAATTTTATAGTAGTGAATTCTATCTCAATAAAACTGTTATTTTTAAAAAAATAATAAATACACAAAACTAAAAAACAAACAACAAACCAAAAATCTTCCCACAAAGAAAACTCCAACCTATGACAGGAGCTTCACTGGTAAATCCACCAAATATTAAGGAGGAAATAATATCAATTCTAGACAAACTCTTCTGGAAAAGTGAAGAAGGAAAGCTTCCCAACTCATTCTGTGAGGACAGAATTACCTTGGTACCAAACCAGACAATGACAAGAAAATGAATCTCTCTCACAAACACAGATGCAAATTTTTTAAAATAAGATTTTAGCAACTTGAAAATCAATCAGTGTAGTTCACCATATTAACAAACTAAAAAGAAAAACCACATGATGATCTCAGTAGACTTAGCAAAAGCTTAAATCCAAAATCCATTCCTGATAAAGCCTCTCGACAAACTAGGGACAGAAGGGAACTTTCTCAATCTGCAGCTACATCATACTTAACGGCAGAAGAATGAATGCTTTCCCTCCACATTCAGGAACAAGACAAGGACGTCCCCTCTCACCACTTCTAATCAACATCATATTGGAGGTTCTAGCCGGAGCAAATGTGCAAGAAAAAGAAATAAAAGGAATTCATATTAGAAGAGCAGAAGTAAAACATTTTATTCATAAGTGACATAATTATTTATGTAGAAAATCTAATGAAATCTACAAAAAAAGGGTACTAAAACTTAAGTGAATTTAGCAAAGCTGCAGGATATACGATATATAAAATCAATTGTATTTCTATATACTAGCAGTGAACAGATAGTGAAATTTTTTAAAAATACCATTTACAATAGCATCCGAAAATATGAAATACTCAGAAACAAACCTAACAAAAAATGTGGAAGACCTATACACTAAAAACTACAAAACTTTGCAGAAAGAGGTTAAAGAAGACCTAAATAAACGGAGAGATTTAACTTGTTCACAGCTCAAAAGATTCATCATAACTAATTTGTCAATTCTTCCTGCAAATGATCTATAAATTCAACTCAATCTCAATCAAAAAGCTAGCAGCCTGTTCGTAGAAACTGACAAGTCGATTCTAAAATTAATACTAGGGCCGGCCCCGTGGCTTAGCGGTTGGGTGCGCGCGCTCCGCTGCTGGCGGCCCGGGTTCGGATCCCGGGATCGCACCGACGCACCGCTTCTCCGGCCACGCTGAGGCCGTGTCCCACATACAGCAACTAGAAGGATGTGCAGCTATGACAGACAACTATCTACTGGGGCGTTGGGGGAAAAATAAATAAATAAAATCTTTAAAATTAATACTAAAATACAAAGGACCCAGAACAACCAAAACAACTTTAAGAACAAAGTTGGAGGATTAATAATACCTGATTTCAAGATTTGGTATAAAGCTAGAATAATGAAAACAGTATGGTATTGGTGTAAAGACAGACAAATACATTAATGGAACAGAAGACAGTCCAGAAATAGACTCACATGTATACATATGGACAACTGAGCGCTGACAAAGGTGCAAAGGCAATTCAGTAAAGTAAAGGATAGTCTTTTTAACAAATGAGCTAGAACAACTGGCTATCCATATGCAAAAAAAAGTGAACTTCAATCCACACCTTGCACTATACACAAAAATTAACTCAAAATGCATCACACAGCTACAAGCAAAACCTAAAATTATAAAACTTTTATGAAATAATATGAAAACATATGAAAAAATAATATGAAAAAATATGAAAACAACATAATTAAAAAGTGGACAAAAGAATCAAAAAGGCACTGCACTGATTACAAATAAGCACATGAAAATATGCTCAACATGATGAGTTATTAGAGAAAACCAAATCACAATCCCAATGAGAATCACTACACACTTAGAATGGCTAAAATTAAAAAGACTGACCATGCCAAGTGTTGGCGAGGATGAGGAGAAACTGAACTAGAACTGGATCTCACACACTGCATGTAGTAATGTAAAATGGTAAAAAACTCTCTGGCAAACGATTTAACCATTTCTTAAAAAGTTGAACATACACCTACCACATGATCTAGCCATACTACTCTAGGTATGCACCCAAGAGAAAGGAAAGCATACCTCCATACAGACTTATACACAGAAGTTCACAGCAGCTTTATCTGTAATAAACTGTAAACAACTCAATATCCATCAACGGGTAAACAGATGAATAAATCCCAGTATACACATACGATAGAATACCACTCAGCAATAAGAAATAATAAACTACTGATATACACAACATAAATGAATTTTATTTATTTATTTATTTATTTATTTTTGTGAGAAAGATCAGCCCTGAGCTAACATCTGTGCTAATCCTCCTCTTTTTGCTGAGGAAGACCGGCTCTGAGCTAACATCTATTGCCAATCCTCCTCCTTTCTTTCTTTTCCCCAAAGTCCCAGTAGACAGTTGTATGTCATAGTTGCACATCCTTCTAGTTGCTGTATGTGGGACGCGGCCTCAGCATGGCCGGAGAAGCGGTGCATCGGTGCGCACCCGGGATCCAAACCAGGGCCACCAATAGTGGAGCGCACACACTTAACCGCTAAGCCAGGGGGCTGGCCCCATAAATGAATTTTAAAATAATGATGCTGAGTGAAAGAGCCAGACATCTCCAAAAAAAGAATACAATCTCATTTATTTAAACTCTAGAAAATGCAAACTACTCTGAAGTGACAGAAACTAGATCAGTGCCTGCCTGGAGAGGGTGGAGGCAGGGAAGGGCAAGAGGAAGGGCAAGGGGCATAGCTCAATAAAGCTGTTTAAAAAATGGCTGAAGGCAATGAATAGCCACTGACAATTTTTAAGAGAAAAATACAATTAAATCCATGTTTTAGGAAAAAGATAACACAGGTGGCAAGGTAGAGGACAGAGGGCAGTGAAAGAGATTAAAACAAGGGTTTTAATCAGGTATCTACTGCAAGAGTCCAAGTAACAAAACGAGAGATTATGTATGTCAATCTCTTTTTGCCTCTTTTCTTGTCTATAAAATAAAGATACTATCGGGGCCACCCAGTGACATAGTGGTTAAGTTTGTGCACTCCACTTAGGCGGCCTGGGGTTTGTGGTTTCAGATCCAGGGCGTGGACCTATGCATGGCTTATCGAGCCATGCTGTGCAGGCGTCCCACATATAAAGTAGAGGAAGATGGACACAGATGTCAGCCCAGGGCCAATCTCCCTCAGCAAAAAGAGGAGGAGTGGCAACAGATGCTAGCTCAGGGCTAATCTTCCTCCTAAAAAAAAAAAAAAAAAAAAGAAGGATACTACCTATATCACAGGGTTATTGTGAAGATCAAATGGAATAACATATATGAAAATACTTTCAAGCTATAGAGTACAACACAAATGTCAAAATATTACTACTGCAATTATATACACATAATTCCTCCTGTCCTTTCCTTCTAATTTAATCTTTGTACACCAGTGGTCTCCTAACTCCTAACCTGCTCTCAAATACAAGGCCAGCGTTCTCTTCAGGTAGATAAGTATTAGAACTTTCCTGGGCTACAAGTGTTCTAGCATTCATGAGAACTATATATTTAGCCCAAACCTAATGACAGCTCAGATCCTCTACCCTCAAAGACAAAAGTTAAGTATTTATAGCTCCTGGGACCTTATCCCCTGTACCATATATACGAGTGATTACAGACAATCAAGTCTTTCTCCAGAGACTTAAGGGCTGAACCTTTTTTAAAAAATCCATTCACCACGTCCTTACCCAAGTCTTTCCAGTTTTGTTTGCAACCCCATACCTCATCCATTGACATATCCCATACTCTGCAAATTTCATTCTCCATTTCTTCATCAAGCTCCATCTGCTGCTCCTCACCATCTGAGCTGGACTTGGTGTTTTCAGGGCTAACAATCTTCAGAAACAGAAGGAACAACAGAGATGAATAAAAGCTGTCTGTAATACTCCCAGGTAACATTATCCCACAATCATGTAGAAGTCACAAAGATCCTATCCTCAAAGTATCTTATCTTACTAAAACCTCGTTCAAAAAATTAGTTCCTTGGGTAGAGCTATTCATTCAACATTCACGGAGTAAATACTGCTGCTAGGCACTGGGGTAGAAAGATGAAGATGAACAAGACTTAATGTCTTGCTTTCAAGCACTTCAGGATCTAGTGGGGAAAAGCCATATATACTGATAAGCCCAAGAGAAAAGCCTAAGTGATTCAACTGAATGTGGACAAAGAGTTGTGGGCGCAAAAATGATGGACCAAAGACCTATGCCTGGGAGAAGTTAGGGAAAACTTTTTAGGAGATGATATTGAAGCTAAATCTCTAAGAATAGGAGTTTGTCATGCGAAGAACGGAAGAAAAGCACACAAAGTATGAGTTCAGAGTTAAAAAAGGGCCTAGCATGTTCTGGGAATGGTAAGCAGTTCAGTGTTGATGGAACACAGTGTGTCACTGGCAGATGAGGCTGGAGACGTTGCAAAGAGCCCTGGATTCCAAGCTAAGGAATATGAATTTTCCTCCTGTAGGCAAAGGGAACTACCGGGAGTTTCCAAGGACAGCATTTTTTTGAAGATTATTCTGGCAGCAGTGTAGAAGATGGACTGGAGAGGCCCAAGATGGACTGAGGGAAATCAGGGAGACGTGGGGAGAAGAAAGGGCACATTTACCGAGAGCCTCCTATAAGCCAAACACCATGGCAAGCACTCTGTGGCCATTATAATCTTATTTGACCTACATAAGAACCCTATATACAACAATAAAGGTATTATCATCCCATTTTATAGAAATTAAGAAAGAAACTGAGGCTCTGAGTGGCTGGGTGACTTGCCCCAAATTACGCAGTTAGTAGGTGATGAAGTCGCGTTTTTGATATCAGATCTGTATGACTCCCAAATCACCATTTATTCTACTACCATAACAGTCCATGAAATAGACAATTTAGGACCTTCGGAAACCACAGTGGCGATGAGGAGCAAAAGCCTGAACAATGTATTTAAACAGTAATATATTTTTTGAAATTTTGCAAAAGTAAAATGTTTTAACAGCAAGCACCCCAGCATCCCTGCCATTATACCCCGCTCTGTGCTGAGGGGCACCGGGAGGGGCTCCCGGCAGTTTGGGGGTCCACGGAGGCGGCCAGGGCGCCAGGCGTGAGGCCGCGCCGCGCGGGCCTGGGGAGGGGTCGCCGCGGGGACGGCGGCTCCGGGCCGGGGGGTCAGGGGACGGCGGGGAGCCCACGCCAGGCGCCGGTTTCCACACCTGGATGAGCCCGCTGAGGACGCCGAAGAGCCAGTGCTTGCTGTAGACCGTGCTCCCTATGCAGTCGCCCCCGGCCACCTCCTCCTCGGCCTCGTCCCGCCTCGGCGGCGGCGGCGAGGGGTTTCGGTCCATGCTCGACCGCCACCAGCACGCAGGAGCCGCGCCGGAAGCCGCCGGAGGAGGCGAGAGGCCTCCTGCCGCCAGAGGACCCGGAGCGCCCGGCGCGGCTCCCGCCACAGCGCCCCCTGCTGCCCGGAGCCCGGCCGGCCTGAGAGCCAGCCCAGTACGCCCATCAGGCCTGGAAGCGCAGACGGCTTATCTCCCCCACCTCACCCTATCCAGGACCCAGGCACAGTCATATCATAACTGTTATTTGTCACCCTCACTGGATTAAATATTCCATCTCTCCAGGAGCTCTTAGCTTGATGGCAAGGGCCGGAGGCTGGGGAGTGGGGCAGAGAACAGGATAGTGAATCGCCACATCTCGGACCTCTGATTTCTGGACACCGTTGCTGCACTTAAAGACATTGTAGGGGCTCATTCTTCTCCCAGGTGTCGTTGGAATCCTGGGAAAGACAAAAGTCACCAGTAAGAATGCCAATATTCCAACTCCTGTATTTTCAGTTCATGCTTCTATTTAGTTCAATGGTACTCAACCTCAGACCCAATGCTCCCTCCCACTCCTGCAACAAGTATTTACAACACCCACTTTACTTTAATGACATGAAAATTATAGATGATATGACCTACCTCAACATGTAATTTCAAAAATATCCATATGATGCCCTAACAGAAAGGAGAAAAAAAATTAATTTAAAATAAAATGATAATTCTATTTTAGTATTTTAAATGCTCAGGCACCACTGTACTAGAAGACATAATAAAGGTCCCTGACATTAGCATGTATACGTCAAGTCACTGTGAACCTGACAGCTACAAATGCAGAATGACACAGGTGTGGTTCCATCATGGATGGGTCTTCTCAAAATCATGAACAGATGATGGTAAAATTTCTAGCAAAACAAAGTTTCAATTTACACAATAATTACATTTCTGGAAAGTTTTAAGGTATAATAAAACTGGACAAAAATACTCTATGTTAATATATAAAATACAGTTGGGTCCTAGGCTCAAATAACTATAAACATTCTTTTCGTCTTATGTGCAGGGGCAGACCCAGGTTTTTCGGGGCCTGAATTATGCAATTTGGGAAGCCCCTTTAGGAAAAACAGTACAAAATTACAGATATTAAATTAGTTACAATAGGAAATATTTATTCAGAATGGGAAAAAAGAAATCACAATAAATTACCAATTTTAAACAGCCAACAAATACCTAAAATGTCATGAAATCCAGAAAAACATCCAAATATTTTTATTAATAAATAGCTTGACACACTTCTACCACCCTTTTTCTTTTTTTTAATAGATTTTATTTTTAGAACAGTTTTAGGTTCACAGCAATGTTGAGCAGAAGGTGCAGAGATTTCCCACAGAACCCTTGCCCTGACTCATGCATAGCCCCCCCGGTCAACATTCCCCACCACAGTGGTGCATTTGATACAGTTGATGAACCTACATTGGCACATCATTATCACCGCGAATCCATCGTTTACATTAGGGTTCACTCTTGGTGTTGTACGTTCTATGGGTTTGGACAAATTTATAATGACATATATCCACCGTTATAGTATCATACAGAGTAGTTTCACTGCCCTAAAAATCTTCTGTGGTCCCCCTATTTACAATCCTTTTTTAATATATTTTGCTAAGTTCTCTCTGATCATCTCTTTTTATGACAATGACCTTGTAAGATCATTTTCTATAGTGAAAAATAGAAAGATAATTCTGTCTTTAGTATGGTTGTTTGAATTTTTTAAAGTTATTATTGGTAGTTAGGGAAGTTTCTTTCACCTTCACAACTTATTATTGGTAATATTATGTAAAGTTGTGACAGCTGTCAAATTTGTGAAAACCTCTCTCTGGAGGAGAACTTTCATTGTGGCTAAGATTCTATGAGAATAAAGTCTTCCACTTATGATCTTACAGTTCTCCATAGACTCACACCTGACTTTGTACATTTCAGAGTTGTTTCTCCCCAACTACCCACATACCCTGTGCTGGGCTCTACAGGACATGTTCATTTTGCCATATGACCTCTGCTCCTGCACCTAGGAGTCACCTCAGTAGGTGGTAGAAGCATACCTAGAAGCCATTCCTACTCCAGGATAGCAATCAATGACTTAATTATACTTGGTAGTGACCACAAACCACATGAATATGTCCCACTAAATGCAGACCGATTGTAGTCCCAACTCAACTTTTCCTTAGTCAGATCCCCAAGATGCCTGTAACCACCCTGGTGGCACTCAACACAAATGGAAATGTGATGGTGGGACGTTGGACTGGACAGAGTTAGAGGCATTAACTGCTTGCAGTTAAAACATCTTACTTTTTCCTATCCTATGAGCCAGCTATCCCACTACTGGGAATCTATCCAACGAACCTGAAATCAACAATCCAAAGAGACTTGTGCACCCTTATGTTCATTGCAGCATCATTCACTATAGCCAAGAAGTAGAAGCAACACAAGTGTCCTTTGACTGATGACTGGATCAAGAAGATGTGGTATATATATACAATGTAATACTACTCAGCCATAAAAAAGACAAAATCATCCCATTTGCAACAACATGGATGGACCTGGAGGGTATTATGTTAAGTGAAATAAGCCAGAAAGAGAAAGACAAACACCGCATTATTTCACTCATATGTGGAATATAAACCAACACACGGACAGAGAGAACTGTATAGTGGTTACCACGGGCAGGGGGGTTGGGGGGTGGGCACAAGGGGTGAAGGGAGGCATTTATATGGTGACCGACAAACAATAGTGTACAACAAAAATTTCACAATATTATAAACTATTAAGACATCAATAAAAAAATATTTTACTTTTTCAGATTTCACTAAAATATTTGACCATGTGAACACTTTTCTAGGGCCTCTCCCAGGGCCATGGAAAAGTCCCATATAAGTGAGGAGCCTTTGAAGCTTAAGCTTCATCAGTTTCACGGTAAATCGGACTCTGCCTACCTGCATGTCTGATAGGACATTACAAAAGCCATGCAGAATGCAGGATGATCCTTTGTTTGCAGCAGTGTCTCATAAATTGTAAGATGCATATATCTCTGGGCCATCTGCTAAATGTCCTCCAATCATTGTGCCAACCAAAAATGTCCCCAGAGATGTCCAAAACCTGGAGTGGGGTTGGGGGTGGGATCAATGCTGTCCCTGTTGAGAACTAGGGTCTAGATCTCTCTCTGTCCCGGGGACTGGCAAGTTTGGGGAAGAATTATGTTAATGCCATCCTCTAAGGAGGTGGCTACATACCTCTTTCTACCGTTCCCTTGTCACAATGATGTAATCTCCTCCAAATTGTCACTTGCTTTTTCCTCAGCCCTTTATTGGCTCTGGTCCCCCCCCATATAGATTTACCTCATAGACTTGTTGTGAGGATCAACTGGGGTGGGACATGGAATACATTCATTGAAGGAGTGACTAAGGGAACTAATACATACAAAAGTGTTTTGTAAGCTCTAAACTGCAATACAAATATTAGTTATAGCAAAAGGTTAAGGATTTTGGGTCTGGCGCCAAGCTAGCAATGTGAGTTGGATGCATTATTTGCATCCAAATGCAAATGCAAGAACTTTTTGTGCCTCAAGTTTCCTCAGCTATAAAATAAGGATATTTAAAGTGTGAGGATCCAATGGGATAACACAAGAAAACACTTAGAGTTATGCCTGGCCCATAGTTAACTCCTCGCTGAATGTTAGCTGTCATATCATTATCATTCTACTATTAACTAGTGTTAGAGGAGCTTAAAAACCAACCAGCAAGAGGACTGACCTACAACCCACTAACTCTAACAGGGATGGATGCAGATTCCCAAGAAGGCATGAACAAAGTGCTATTCAGGCATTTAGTATTAAACATAAGGGTTTTGAGGCTGATGGTTATGATGTGCTGAGGACCTGGTGTTCTATAAAACCTGAACCACCTAGCAGGGAAAGAGTGAAGGGACATGACTTTGAAAGATGTTTCCCAGCACCATGGACAGGGACTGGTTAACAACAATCTGGAGGGAGAGGATGGGAGAGGAGAAAGCCTCCTGGGACTAGTCTCCATGGCAGGGAGAGAGACCACCGAGGGACCCAGATTCTTGGGAGGCAGAGAAGAGGAAAGGACACAGCTGTCTGAGCAGAGAGGAAATCTGGACACAGAGGGGCATAGAAACAGTCCATTGTAACCAGAGATGCTGGGGCCAGCAGGACCCAGAGGACAGGGTCTGGTTTGGAAAAGAAACTGTGCGTTGTATGAGACTGAATAGACTTCTACAAGATTTCAGGATCTTCTGGGGTTATGTAAGAGAGATAACTCAGGCTACACTTTGACCCCAAGGAGATGGTCGCTGCTGGGGTGAATCCATGGTACCTCAGAGTCCTTTTTTATACTTTCCTTTGATTTTTTTTGACATCAAATTTTCCTACCCTCCTGGTAAGGATTGGGGATTATTTTCTCTACTACTCTCTGGAATTGTTTGTACAAAATTGGAATGATTTGTTTATTTATTTATTTATTTATTTTAATTTTTTTATGAGGAAGATTAGCCCTGAGCTAACATCTGTTGCCAATCCTCCTCTTTTTTTGCTGAGGAAGATGGACCCTGGGCTAACAGCCGTGTCCATCTTCCTCTACTTTATATGGGACACCGCAACAGCATGGCATGACAAGCAGTGCGTTGGTGCGCGCCCAGGATCCGAACCTACGAACCCCGGGCTGCGGAAGCGGAGCGTGTGCACTTAACCGCTGCGCCACTGGGCCTGCCCCCTGATTTGCTTTTTTAAAGGGTTAAATTTGTCTGTAGAACCATTTGGGCCTGCTGTGTTCTTTGTGGGAAGATTTGATCTTTTATAATAATGATAGGATAATCCAAGTTTTCATTTCTTCTTGAGTCAGTTTTTTTAAATTGTTTTTCAAAGAATTTGTTGATTTTTGTCCAGTTTTAAGCTTTATTGCTGAAGTTGTTCATAGTATTCTCTTTTATCTTTTCTATGTTCTGGAACATAGAGTTATGGACTGATAATTGGTCCATGTAATGGTCCACACAAGGTCTATATAGTATGGTCTGTGTTATGGACATATAGTTTTACCCCAATTTAATACTATTGTTTATTAGTGCCTTATCTCCTTTTTAAAAATAAAAGTGATGATGTTTATTGATCATCCTCACGATATTAAATAGGCATAGGCTCATTCTCTTTAAGTAGGGAACACCGTCATGTTCTGTTTGCAGATGCTAACAACAAATGGGATTTCACAAGCATTTATTAAACACTTTTATATGCTCTTTATCAAGCATCAACTACTAGGGATATAGAATTCAGTAATACGAGATCAGCAATTGTCCCTGCCCTCGGGAGACTCACAGCACCACCTCCCGAGAGCAGAGTGAAGGGGAAGCTCAGTACTTGTCAGGCAGGCCAGCAGGTCTGAAGTGATTGGGGTCTTTGCCACTCCGGCCCCATTCATTGGCAGCCTGGTCAGCCCTCGAGTCTGCCGCTCCGTGGCCGCTGTCTCCAAACTTGAAAAGGTCTGTGACTCTCTGAGAACCCTCTCTGGCATCACTGGAATGGAGGTGGGCAGGTAGGAGATTAATCCAGGGCTTATGAGTAACAGTCCTACCCTCCCTGTCTGTCCTCTTTCCCAGGGATGGCTCTGAGAGGAGCCCAGGAGAGTGGGGCTAAAACATTGAGGCTGCCTGGTCACAGCCCACTCAGCCCCGCTGATGCCCCTGGTGCTGGGTGAACAGCACCCAGAAGGGAAGGCTGGGAATCGCCCATTCCCACCAGTCCTGATCTGGCTCTGTCACCACTCAGACCCCACACTGTGCACAGAGGGGGTGGGGTGGGCCAGAAGATGAGGGGCCACAGTCTCTACAGGAAACTTCCCCAGGGCGTGGCCCCTCCTGTTGTCCAAGGCAGCCCAGCTCTGCCCACCCACCCCCGCACCCGAGTCACCTGATCACTTTAGCAGCCCAGGCGCCCCCAGGGCCCCTTTGTGCAGCATCGTAGTTCCCTCGGGCGTGGAAGTATTTGTCGGAATCTTTGTAATTGGCTTCTCTCATGTCAGAGTAGGCTCTCCACATGTCTTTAGCCCCTGGAAGGGAAAGAAAATGATGAGATGAAGGTGATCACATCTTGGCAAATAGAGAAATCAATTTTCCTCTCAGTGGTTCTGAGACATCATCCTTTGACAAAGCCCTTGGAGATGATACGGCTTGAGATGAACATTCCTTTACTTTTCACTCCCTGGTTAATGTGATGAGAATCACACCAGGTGCAAATTTTATTCTGTCTGATTCTATTCCAAGTTCTGTTGCTCCTTTGTTTTAGGGTGTGTGTGATGCGTGTGAGGAAGAGGTGGGATGGTCCTTAGGGCATGTGTGGTTGTACAATGAGCCTCTACCTGGAAAGATGCAGGGAACCCTCCGACCGGGGCCTGAGAACAAAGGCGACTCTGAGGGAGGCTGGGAACCCACGGTGCTCCCAACCTAGTCACGGGAGAACTTCATCCCTGTGGGCAGCGTGAGGACCACTTGGTCCTGAGTACATCTGAATGTCCAGGTACATTTGCGCCTGGACGACTGTCAGAATTCAACTGGCAGGTGATAAAGGTGAGTCCCTAAGAGAGCTTTAAAGAACCTGGGTGATCAGATGCAGACAAAGGGCAACTGACCCACCAGCTCTAAAGGTCAGTGTCCTCTCCAGTGAAGTGGAGGAGTGGGGCCTCCCTCAGAGTGGTTATGTAGAAGGATGGGGAAGATACAGGTATAACTTCTAGAACATTCTACATGCTCAATATACCATCACTTCTCTGGTCCTTTGAGAGCATGGCACAAAAGGAAGAAAAAGAATGAACTAAGATGAGGAGCAGGGAGTTATGCATGAAAGAAATCTGACCAAGCTAGAATAAAATGGCAAAGACTTTAAAAAATTAGCTGATTAGGAAACAGAGAAAAACCTAACGTAGAGTTGTAATCTTAGCTTATGTAATATCCCCATGAGATAACTTGTCTTCATTTTATGTCTTCATTATTCCTGGTGTTCAGATAATACTTGTGTTGAGAGCTATGACTTTCTTACTATACTTATTTCCTCTGAGTTACTGACTTAAATAGATCCGTGGAGTCCAGACTTGCATAATAAGTCCTTCCAAAATGCCTGACACATTTGGTCACTTGAGGGGGCAGAACCGGAGGGAGTGGTTCTCAGCCTTCAGTGCACAGACATCACCTGGGGGGCTTGGTAAAGGCCAGATTCCAGCTCAGCCCCAGAGACTGATTCAGGGAGGGAAGTGTGTGGACCTGGGCATCTGCATTTCACAAAGCACCCAGACCCATGGAATTTCATGTGGGTAGTCTTAGAACAACCCTTTGAGAAACATTGACCTGAGAGATGAAAAGAGATTTTTAGCCAGGTGTGCAAGAATTAAGATAGGATTAACAGCAAACTCTTAAAACAATTCCTCAGAGACTATCAGAAAAAAACCCACAAAATAATTTTGTGAAATAAACAATTTTTTGCCACTTCACTATGGTAATGAGGTAACTATCTATTTTTTTTTTTTCCTGTGAGGAAGATCAGCCCTGAGCTAACATCCGTGCTAATCCTCCTCTTTTTGCTGAGGAACACTGGCTCTGAGCTAACATCTATTGCCAATCCTTCTCCTTTTTTTTTTCCCCAAAGCCCCGGTAGATAGTTGTATGTCATAGTTGCACACCCTTCTAGTTGCTGTATGTGGGATGTGGCCTCAGCATGGCTGGAGAAGCGGTGCGTTGGTGCGCGCCCAGGATCCGAACCCGGGCTGCCAGTATTGGAGTGCGTGCACTTAACCACTAAGCCACGGGGCCGACCCCGGTAACTATCTCTTGCTCTTGGTTTCCTGGCCAGACCTCAGCCCCACTAGAACCATCATCAAGATACTTCATTGCACCTTTTATTGCAGGGAGGGAAGCCCTACGGAGTTGCCTTCCAAAGACACACATCCCCACTCCTGGCCATTTGCTCAGATAAGAACAGGGTGTGTTTACAAATCCCTCGCTCTCCCATGTGCACTCTTATCTGGGAGGCAGTGTGGTACCTGGTTAATAGCCAGGTCTGGGGAGCTCGACAACCTGGGCTAAATCCTGCTCTGCTTTGGGACTTTGTTAGGCATCTGAATCTTTCGGTTTCCCTGTTAAGGGATAATGGTACCTACATCTCAGGATGAAAGGATTAAAACCTGAAGATGAAAATGAGTTCATATGTCCATGTAAAGCTCTTAGAACAGTGCCTAGGACATATTAAAAGCTCAGTTACTTTGGTTGTAATTACTAAGCGGATGGGAAGTGGGCACACACCCCACACCTTTGATGCACCCACTTCCTGGCTCCTGAAACATAGACGTGAGCTGTCCCTGACTCCCCACTAGGCAGCAGTAGAGCCCCACGCATATTTAGGCAACATGCACCCCTGAACTCAGGTTTCCTCCTCACTCCTGCTGAAAGTTGAGGCCCAAACCTTATGACCTCGGGTCTGGGGATCCCCACAGAAGAGTGCAAAGCTGTGCAGAAAAGCCTGGGGAACTGCTGTCATGAAAACCGTGTTCCTTTTCTAGCCGCTTGTGGCCCTTGCCCTGTGGATATGTGGCCTCTACTCAGGTGAATCTTGGGGACTGCCAGTTGCAGCCTCCCCCTCACCCCCATCCTTTTTGGTCCTTACCTTGACCAGCTTCCTTGAGGAATGAAAACCATCCTCGACTGCTGACTCCTAGGACCAGGGAGCAAAAAATGATGCCGATGGAAAGCTTCATCTTGCTGCAGACAGTCAAGCAGACACAACAAAGGTTGACAGGTTTTTATTTTTGATAATGTTGATCCACCTTACATTCCAAAAATAAATCCCACTCAATTTTATACATGCATACGTATATGTATGTCTATCTATACTGATGGATACATAGATTGTATTTCAGAGGGTCCAGTTCTCCATTTCCATTGTCTCATTGGAATCCCGGTGATTTACTGGATGAGAGATTGCAATGGGCTTTTAGAATAAACAACTTTCCATTTCAATCATCCCCTTTCAGCTCTGCAACCCACTGTACAAAACTTTTCCAGAGAGGCATTTGGGGATTTTGTGACCACACACCTCTCGGTAATGTGAGATGAGTTAAACCATCCACAATATTCGCAGAAGCCTGCTCTACCCATCACTGACTCCACACAGAAGAAGCATACAACAGAATCCCTCCCCCAAAGTATTCACATCTGGTTAATTCTGATTGTCAGAATAGCGACTCAGGAAGGAGGCAGAGAGCGGGGATGCAGCACAAGGATGCTGGTGGGGAAAGAGAATCTCCAAAGAGGAAAGCTGCTGGAAAGTTCTAGCACCTCACCTGTGGCTGTCTCTTCCTGCTGGGCTCCTGGTGAGCTGAGCTGCCTGTGGTGCCCACCTGGGAGATGTGGCTGGTGCTATATATACTGACATTTTGCTAGGGGAACGAATGGGGACACAGATGTGAAGCCAACAAATGAAATTTGGGAAATTCCTCTTGGGCAGAACACAGCATTCAGAACATCAGGGTTATTCTTCACACACATCCAATTTTCCCAGATTGTGCAATCTGGTAGCTTTCAGGAGTGTACTAAGTTGGATTTTCTGCCCATTTCCAGCCTCACTCCTGGTGGGGACCAGGTTTTTCCCCCCGCAAAATAATGTACTGACATTTTCTGTGAAGGGAAACCAATATTATAAAAAGAGATTTGATTTAAAAATGAGCAAAACAGGCCACAGGGACCAGCAGAACAGGCTCCATTGGAGGAAGCTCAGGATGAAGCTGGAACCCCAGGGCACAGGAGTAGGAAAGGAAGGAGATAGACCACCCAGGAAAATAAAATTAAGAGCACCCACATGGGGTGGTCTCAGCACTGGAAAAGGGAGTAATCCAACTCAAGTGTATTCACGATCAGTTTCTATTGAAGGTCATATGGGCAGGTTATATTGGGAGGATGCTGTAACCCAGGAAGGTTGTAGTATAGAAATTTGCTACAATGTCGTGTAGAAATGACAAACTATAAAAATAAGCAGGAAATGGCCCAATGGCTGCTAAATTATCAGCATAGAAGATTCAGGAAGGATGCATAGAAAGCTTGGATGCAGCATGCTGTAGGGTGTGATGATAGAGTACAGCTGAAAAGCAGGATTGGGCTTTATTATCTGAGTTTACTAAGATAATCTTGGGAAGAAATTGTGTGCAGGTGCCAACAGGGGGATGATGTCCCTGGTTCACTCCCTGCCCCATCCCTGCCACTTCGTCCAAAGGGGAAATTGTAAAAGCAGTTGGATATCCCCAAGAAGAAAGATGATGTGTGTGCAACATGGCAGAGATGATGGAGGATTAGAGGACAGATCTGGTCCTCTTCACAATGGGACTGTGGGCCGGAGCCTGAGGACAGCGTAGGGCAAGTAAGGCCCAGCCCAGACAATACCAGCTCAGGATTTGTGCCTGGAGTGTTTCTGGGAGACAAGGAATGTGAGTAGTGCATTGGAGATACTAGGGAAGGAATCTCCAAGACTGATGCAAGCACATCATGGAGACTTGCTAGTCGAGATGTGGGAAGACGGAAAGAACAGTCATGAAGGACGGCAACCTTGTGCTCCAGTAGTAACCCAGAGAACAACAAGGATGAGGTCCTTCCAATGTTTTACAAGACCAGAGAAATTTGAGTAGGACATTCAAAAGAGGAGCAGTGACCCAGGATGAAGCAAGTCAACAAAGATTCCACTAGTGTTTGGGAGTCATTATCTTAGATTAGAGCCTACCAAAATTAGGAGTGATGGCTCTTTCTGGATCTTGGTCATATTTTAATTCTTGTAGGTATAATGAGATGAAAGTTGAAAGGCAGATAACTGTCAAGGATTTCCCTGTGCCTTTGGTTCTTATAAAGGCAATGTTAAGCAACATACAGATATTCCACAGACAACTTCCTTCCTTGGGAAAGGTGGATTCCCTGTGGGTGGGTGGTCAGGGTCCCTGAGCTGGCTTGGCTCTCTTGGTCCTAGGAGTAGACCTGGTGGGGAAGAGAGAGTTGTCAACCCTCCACAGCCATTGGTCATGGGCATGCTGGGGGGGTTGCTTCATAGAGAAGGGCATGTGATATTCAGACCCCCTTTTTCCACGTTCCTCTGGGCAGAAATTGTCAGCCAGTGATCACATCCTATTATAATTCTTTTACTCCCTCTGGGGCCATTCAATGCTGGAAATCCACTCCCCACTTTCTCATGTCATTGAAGTCATTCTCTTATTTGAAGGAATCATTACAGAGAAAGCAGGTACAATTTCTAGACACCAAGAGGAACTCTTCACAGGGACTCTAACCAGCACTGCAAGTTCTCTTCGCTTTGTTACTCAATGTGTTCTGTCTTCTGGGAAGGGACACACAGTTCCTTGCAGGGCCATACTCAGAGCAGTAGACAGTAGTGTCAGTCTGCCTTTTTCACTTGCTTCTCCTACAAAAGGAAGCTACACTGTCATGGTGATATCAGGGTCTCCAGGCCTTAAAGGGATTTCCCAAGAGTCTCTCGTGAGTCTCTGTGTCCCAGTTTGCAGAGATGGTCTCTGTTAGTGCCTATTGTCCCAGCTTAATAGTTAATAGTGACACCCCCTTCCACTCTCGAAAGTGACTTGGTATTCACGATAAACTAGTTGGACCCCCACTCTACTGACCAGGCTGTTGAGTTGCCTGAAACACCTCCATTTCTTCTGTTACAATTAATGTAAGTGGAAGAGAAGATCACCAAGGCTCTTAAGATCAGAAACCAAAGTGAAAAAAAGCCCCACAGGATAGCCTGACCAAGAATGGCACCTGAGGCCCAAGTCCCAGATTCAGAGGGACAGCAGGAAGAAGGATGAGCAGGTCCACGAGTGTAAAATGAGGAGATAATGACACCGAGCTCACGGGGTTGTTGTCAGGATGACATGAGTGACGCTCAAAGGGGCTTGGACGAATTCTGGGCACATGTAAAGCACTTAAATTTAGCTCTTCTGGCTCAACCAAGAAAAATCATAATATTTTATACTTTGCAGAAGACAGAAAGATTAATTACTGTATTGTTACCAAGGCCACACATTGTTAACACATTAACTAGTAAGATTACCAATCAGAATGCAGTTTTAAAGATCAAGCTTTAATTTTACAGGTCACAGCAACATTCTCTGAAGTCTCTGAATCTCTTTCAAGATCCCTTTGTTAGAAATAATTGTTGCAAGGAGAGTGTTTTTGATGCAGGAAACCATCTGCATTTTTTGCGAGAGAAGAGGGAACATTCTCTCCTGACCTTGGCAGGACTTCTGTCTCCAGCAGTTAGATGGTCCTGCAGGTTTTCTAAGGCTAAGCCTGGAATTCCGCTAGACAGTATGAGAGAGAAAGATGGGCTGGAGGAGCTCAGAACTCACCACAAGGAAATACAGGGCCAAAGGAGGATTGTGAACAGCTGGAGTGTTGAGTGTGTAATCTTTTGCATCTAAAGTCCCCCATTTTGTTAAAGTTAAACAACACTTTATCTGGATTTCCGTCTGCATGAGTTCTTTTTCTCTTTCTCTCCAGATTTCAATTTCAGATATGAACTACCTGTTTAGTATCCAGATGAAAACATCTGTGGGCACCCTTTAATACTACCATTCACTGCTCTTTAAAATATTACTGGTTTAAAACAATTATTATATCCAACATCATGAAAATACCTTTTTAGAAAATTTCAGTGCTCATGGATGGGAAGAATTAATGTTGTTAAAATCTCCTTACTACCCGGAGCAATCTACAGATTCAATGCAACCCCTATCAAAATTCCAATGGCATTTTTCACAGAAACAGAACAAACAACCCTGAAATTTGTATGGAACTTAATTTTGTATGGAATCCTAAAATTTGAATGGAACAAAAGACCCCAAATAGCCAAAGCAATATTGAGAAAGAACAAAGTGGGAGACATCACATTTCCTGATTTGAAGTTATATTATAAAGCTATAGTAATCCAAACAGTATGGTATTGGCATAAAAATGGACACATAGATCAATGGAACAGAATAGAGAGCCCAGAAACAAACTCTCGTATTTATGGTCAATTAATTTACAACAAAGGAGCCAAGAATATACATTGGGGAAAGGATAGTTTCTTCAATAAATGGTGTTGGAAAACTGAACAGACACATGCAAAGCATGAGATTTGACCCCTATCTTACACCATACACAAAAATTAACTCAAAATGGGTTAAAGACTTGAACATAAGACCTGAAACCATAAAACTCCTAGAAGAAAATATAGGCAGTAACCTCCTTGACATCAGTCTTGGCAAAGATTTTTTTGGATTTAACACCAAAAGCAGAGGCAACAAAGGCAAAAATAAGCAAATGGGACTGCATCAAACTAAGAGCTTCTGCACAGCAAAGGAAACCATCAGCAAAATGAAAAGGTAACCTACCAAAAGGGGGAAAATATTTGCATATCATATATATAATAAGGGGTTAATATCCAAAATTTATAATGAACTCACACAATTTAATAGCAAAAAAACCTCAAACACATCTGATTTAAAAATGATCAGAGGATCTGAACACACATTTTTTCAAAGAAGACATACAGATGGCCAACAGATATATGAAAGGGTGCTTAGCATCACTAATCATCAGGGAAATGCAAATCAAAACCACAATAGGATATCACCTCACCTATTAGAACACCTATCATCAAAAAGACAAGAAATAACAAGTGTTGGAGAGGATGTGGAGAGAAGGGAACCCTGTTACACTGTTGGTGGGAATGTAAATTAGTACAGTCAGTATGGAAAACAGTATGGAGGTTCCTCAAAAAATTAAAAATAGAACTACCTAAAATATTAGTTTTAGGGGCCGGCCCCGGGGCTTATCGGTTAAGTGCGTGTGCTCTGCTACTGGCGGCTCGGGTTTGGATCCCGGGTGCACACCGACGCACCGCTTCTCCAGCTGTGCTGAGGCCGTGTCCCACATGCATGCAGCTAGAAGGATGTGCAACTATGACATACAGCTATCTACTGGGGCTTTGGGGAAAAAAATAAAGGAGGAGGATTGGCAACAGATGTTAGCTCAGAGCCGGTCTTTCTCAGCAAAAAGAGGAAGATTAGCATGGAGGTTAGCTCAGGGCTGATCTTCCTCACAAAAATAAATAAATAAATAAATAAAACTGTTTAAAAAATAAAATAAAATATTAGTTTTAAAAGTAGAACTAAATGATCTAGCAATTGCAATTCTGAGTATTTATCTGAAGGAAACAAACCACACACTTGAAAAGATATATGCACTCCCATGTTCATTACAGCATTATTTACAATAGTCAAGACATGGAAGCAACCTAAGTGTCCATCAATGGATGAATGGATAGGGAAAACTAATACACACACACACACACA